AAGCGTACTTTTTAGCTGTCCCTCTTCCTTTCAGTATTGATGACAGCGCTCACTTTTTGAGCAAACGGCATGGTTTCACGAAAACGGACGGATTTATTTCCGAGCAGAAAAAAAACGTGCAGTTGGAAGATCCAGGATTGTGTTTCAAGGTTGAAATGTTTGGATCACGTGTCTCGTCTTGCGTTTTTTTGCACAACTGGCTTTCTGCGCGGTTTTGGGGTCTTGTTGCAGAGGGGGATTGGGAGATCGAGCCCAGGAAGCCAACACTTGCGGCCGTGTGGCCGTGCACTCTTCGGGCAGCTTCGTGCTGGTGTCGCCCTTCGGCTGCAAGGGCCGAACCGCCGCTCGAGCGGCGGGGCAGGGGACTTGTCATTTGAAGCAACCCGTTGGTGGATTTTGTGAACAGGATGTTCACCATTCAATAACATAGCCATTAGGAATACGTGGCCCGGGGGGATGGTCGGTCAGGGTCAACAACAGGAGCAAAGGCTAGTTATTCGATTTGTATGTCGTACAAGTTGCTTTCCCTCTGCAGGATGGCGGGGACTAGAACGGAACGTGACACTTAAATTAAACTGAGGAAAGGTCACACGGTGGGACGGTTGAGGGCCCTGGAAGAAGGTGGGCGTTGGAGACAGTCCGGCAATTACCAGAGATTAGGAGTATCTCGCGGAGCGGGGGATGGTGTGCTGCAGGATTTTTGCGACCTCCCCCCCCCCCCCCACCGGCGCTTTGTACTTCTGTGGCGCGCCAAAGATCTATGGTTGATGTCGGAAGGCCATGTCTTCTCAATTGTTTGGCGTGTAGATTTGTTGTTATTGAAGACTTTATTTAGTTGTTTTGTTCAATGATTATGTCATTCCTTTCTTCCGTCCTTAAAAGTACTCTGGACTTATTTACTCTTTTTCATTCATGTGTATGTTCATGTATTCATGTACTTGCTTGTTGTGTATTTGTTGCTTTATGTATGTACTTGTAAATTTATTGATTTGTGTAGAAACATACAAATATATTATTATTATATATATATATATGCATATTCATTATATTTCATTTATGTACACTGCTTTCTGCTTTAGTTCTATTAATCTATTTTCGTGTTTGTTTGTTTGCTTGCTTGCTTGCTGGCTGGCTGGCTTGCTTGCTTGCTTGCTTGCTTGCTTGTATTGCATTGTACGTATTTACTTTTGCTGTTTTTTTTTCCTCCTTTTTTTTTCTTCTCCGAGCTTTTTTGTACATGCGCAAACACGGACTACTCCTCACGAATCATCATGTCCGGATGATTCCCAAACTTTGTGTTGTATTCGGAAGGGGTGATCATCAACTCCATGATGCGGACCTTCGCAAGCGATGTAAGGGTTGAGAAGCCTGATTCCTGAGACCGCTGCGCCCATTGCGGCAGGAATCGGGGCCACGACAGCATCACCGTTTTCCGGGCCGCGACCTTGGACTTGAGTTGCAGTCCGTCGGCCTTTATACGGCTCTGTGCCGTGCTTTGGTTTATGCCCTTGGCCTTTTGTTACCATTGGGTCGGGGCCGCCCTCCTATTCAAGAGCGAACAGGAGAGGCAGTGGAGTTTCACCCAATGAAAGGGTTTGGGCACACACACATTAGCGCTGGCAAGATTTCTGGCTTCCCTGCAATGTTTGGGGAGTTAATCGTACAGAGTGCTTTTTGACCTCTGCGGCCAAAATGGAATGAACCCACGGCTTTTTTCTTGGAGGCTTGGGTATGTATATCTATATTATGAATATATATGTACATACATGTCCATGTATAGAAATATGTACATATGTTCCAGGTTAGGGCTTTTTTGCTGATCATCGTATTGTATTGTTTCCAGCCTCAGTGCCTCCGATGTTGGCGATTTTCCAGTATCTTTTCCCTGCATGTCTCGTTGTGGTTTCGAATGTTTCTTATAAAACTGGATAACAGGTTGGAGTCCGCTTCGTTGGGCGCAAACCCTTCCCAGGCATCAGCCCTTTCAGCACAAATAGGCGCCCCCTTGGCTGCGCTTTAAGTGTTCCGGGTTGCCATGGCAGCATCCGAGTAGTTCTCTTGCAGCTTCACGAGTTTCCCTCAATGCGGAGATCGGAAGCAGGGGAGCATGTTTTTGTTCAGTGCAATTCGAGAGTCAAATCGAAAAGCTCAACCATCAATTGAAACACCCGTCTTGTCTCCATTTACTGCCTTCGTATATCGGATCATCTTGGGTAAAGAGCGAGAAAAGTGTTTCGTGCGACCCCGGCAGGTGCACTTCACCCACGGCCACCGGGGTCTCCTGTCTGTGGCCTCTACTCAGCCCTCGCCCTAGCGGCCGCTGTCCCCATCAATATGTGATCTTCGCTTTGCTTCCGTATCTGGAGCAGGGTGTGTTCCCAAACCCTATCTCGGGTTTGATTGGGCATCCCGCTATTTGGACACGATTGGCCCTTCAATTGACGCTGCTTGTTCAGCGGCGTTTGATGCAGCGCCTAAAGCCCCATTGGCCACGTTACGAAGGGGTTCGACTTCCTGGCCTACAAGAAGCCATCGTAAGGCCCGTACTAGGTTGCATAGCCATCTTAGTAGCACCAGCAGTCAATGGGTCTTGGGCTCGGCTCATGTGCTGCTTAGGACAAAGTTCAGTTGTCTCATTCGGGTTGAAATGCCACAGCGCGGGTTGGCTTTGACCACGGTTTGGATGCCAGATTCCGAAGGCACACAAGAGGGGCAACTCCCAGGCCAGGGCGTGGACCAAGTAGTGAAGAGCGACTTGCTTGGCAGACTGCTATGCTTTGCTTTGAGCAAGAAATACAGAGAGCCTCATTTTGATTTGTCTGGTCGATTGTTGCTGCTGCTGTTGTTGTTGCTGTTGCAGTTGGTCGGTTGCTTGGTTGGTTGGTTGGTTGGTTGCTTGCTTGCTTGGTTGGTTGGTTGGTTGGTTGGTTGGTTGGTTGGTTGGTTGTTGTTGCTTGCCTGTGTAAAGGGCCGATACACCCAAAAAAGTCCTGCTCAGCTGGCAAATAGCGTAGTCTTTTTCGAGTGCCTGGTTCCTGGTAGCCAGGACTCAAAAGAGAGAACACACAGCCAGCACGGCCAATATTGGACAGCAAAATGAGCCAGACATTCTGGGTGCTTTGGTTGGATTTAATTGGAAACAAGAGGAAACCAACCATGTTGGATCTCTTTCGAGACATACCCTTCAAGCAGACCTCCACAGAACCCTGGGACAGGCACTTCCAGTTTGATGCTTCTGGGCAGTGGCTTATCACGGCCAACCAGGCTGGGCTGGGGCGGCCGGGCCAAGACGTTGTGCTGGGCGTTTTGAGGTGTTGGGCTGTCGTATCAGTCGTATCATCATGACCGTGACCGACCAGCGATATGATACATGGGACAGATGAGGTATTCAGGAACAAGATCGACACACAGAAAACGCTTTGAGGGTCGGTGACAGCTCAGCAGCCGGAGTGATGGAATGCCACACGGTCTGAGGTGGGGGCAAGAAATTCTTTCCCCTCTAAGCAAGCACGTGGCGGTTTCTTTGATGACGCCGTGCCTGGTTGGTGAAATGTTTCGTTTGACATTGGAGTGCTTTTTCCATGTAGGATAGTTGGCCGCAACATTGTGTCACCATGCTTGTCTCAGTATGGTTCACTTCAAAATATTCAAGCGTGTTGCTGAGCGGACTATTCCGATGACTGAAAAAGGTCTGAAAGACCTGGCCTCATTCCCACGTCGTGCCGAGCCAATGGGGAGACCTTTTTTTTGACTTCTGGCAAGAAAGGCTTGTGTGACCTTCAGTCCAATGATCGAATCCCACTAGAATTTGCAACCAAGGTATGAATGAGAGACAGCAAGACTTGCTACCCCAACGTTGCTCAGAGCCGAAGCTTGCATCCCATGCGGGTGACCCACTTACACGAGTGTGGAGCATGTCCGGCATGCATCTTACCGGGTTTTGGTGTGCTTTGTACAGACTTCTGTTGACTTCCTGAATGCGCTGCGTCCCATGGTTTGTGCTTGAAACACTCGTTATACCGATCTTCGGCGTTGGGTGCATTGACGGGCGTTTGAGAGCTAAATGATGAGGGCAAGCAGCAAAGAGTCGTGAATCGAGTTGGCAAGCAAACCTACTAGCGTATCGTGGGCCTGGCAGCCTTAGCAGTCATCGCATTCATCTCATTTGGTAGTGCAGAAACTCCAACGAGATAGCTGGGATGAGAAGGTTGCGCGCATTACCCGAAGGATTCAGACAACATCTCGGTCTTCCGCTTCAACTTGGCCACTGGAAAGCTGGAGTTCACCGGAAACGAGTGCGCGTGTTGCAGATCCGCCCGTGTGCAGCGCTCGCTGACTATGAAACCAAGGGGCTAAGGCTTGTTATTATTAAGCCTCCATAAGCCTTACGGCCATCTTGACTGGGGAACCGTCAACCCCTGATCTGAGTTGAAGCGATCGGAGATTTCGCAGCCGTCCAGCATCTCACTAGGTACGAGGTGCCTTCCCCCAACTTTGTGTGCAACGTGGTGCCCCACCAGCCATGGGCCGAGGAACAGCAGGGCAGGGCCTTTCCGTATCCAAATCCTGACCCTTGCCCGAGCCGATACTAAGCCACGGCCGTTTTGCAACTATTGGCATCAGCATGTTGATTTCAGCCACGTGCGCTGGGCCGCATGTCTAGTTCTGCACTGCGAGGTCCATGGAATCTGGTCCGCGCTCCAGCCTGTGAGCGAATTAGATGTGGGCTATGCACAGCCCCATGCTTAGGTGCTGTTCCGCTCATTTGTGCTGCTTCGCTTTTAAAGCGACAGTGATTGGGCATATGTGCTGTCCGACGTTGGCATCTGGCCACAAAGCCAGGATGTCGCACAAGGCTCAAAAAGCATCAGGCATTTGGGGTATTTGCAGTCGCGCCAACTCTGATACCCTGTAGAATGGCAGTATGGTTTTGCAATGCTGCTTCTTGGCCAATGCATGATTGTGAGGAGTTCAGCATGCCGCTTGCCGAATCTGACGTCAGGCTCGGAGCGCGGACTTAGCCATTTGCGCAGCCCGCTCGTTGTCGGAGCTGGCTTAGAAGATTCCATATATGCCGCAGGCTCAGAGGCGCCCAAGCAAAGAAACGAGGTCGACGCTGCATGTCGCCGGTATGCGACATCTTGTTTTGTTAAACAAAAGCTCATTTACCTTGAGTTTGCGCGGTTTTGACGGAATGTCGCTGCCAACTTCCCCAAAGAGACACAGAGGTTCCATCAAATCGCCTGGCCACCAAGTCCTGTGCCCCAGGTGGCACTTTAACATCCCCATCTTCAGGCGGTTGGACAAGGCCGCTGTGGATGTCTACCCCTTTCTGTCTCAGGGTTGCGCCACTGCAATAGCTTTTATGGGCTATATTTGGAACCACATCGCAATATACAACCAGTTCTGTACTTGTCGGCCGATGGTTGAGCCACTGGTTGTTATGTTCCGTGTCTTGTTGTGTTGCGCACACTTGTTGCTTCTGCTTATAGGTGGCCGGGCATGAGAAAGATGCGGTCGCAAGCTCAGCTTTCCTCTCGTATCACGACTTGTTTTCCCATGGGGAGAGGTATATACGCCATCCCAAGTTGATGCCTCACAGGCATCCATCAAAGTTGGAAAACATGTCTCTCAATGGAATGACCATTGCCCATGCTCTTGCTTGTGCATGCTGCGCCAGCAGCCTGTGTACTGTGCTGGTGCTTGTAAAGCGCACTTGGGATACGAGCTGAATGTCCATGCTCCATGAGGTTGTTGCGCTGGCAAGGACCGGATCTTTGTTTTGGCAAGACAGCCATGTCACGAGAATATTGAGTCTGGTGTGATTCCTGCACACTTGCTTTGGGGATTTCGCAGACTGCCAGGACCTGGTGGGGCTTCGCAGAAGGCGTGCCCAAGGCCTGCGACAGAGTAACGTTATAGGTGGCCCTTGTGCCGGGAACACCAAGTGATTGCACATAGCGAGCAGTCAAGGCAAATGACTCTTCATCTTAGGACTGGTGAGGCTCCCGGAAGCTGAAAGTTCGCATAAGTATTCAAGGGAAAGCTTCTGGGGTCTGTAAAAGGCAATGAATGGCAGATCACGTGTTCTCCTGGTCGCTGGTCTGTGGTGCTTCCACAGAAGACTGGCAGACTTGCTTGGGGAATTTCGCTGGAAGAATGCGCACGAATCGTTGCTTTGTATAGCTTGACTTGTCGTTTGTATAAATATATTAGCAGACACGTCAATGATACATAAATAATAACAATTGTATTGATACTACTACTACTACTACCACTACCACTACTGCTGCTGCTACTGCTGCTACTACTACTACTACTGCTACCGCTACTGCTACTGCTACTGCTACTACGACTACGACTACTACTACTACTACTACTACTACTACTACCAACAATAATAGCAATAATTGATAATAATAATTAATCACAATAAAAAATACTTAATACTTAGTAATTGATAATAAATAATTAGAAATTAGTAAATGTTAACACCAAGACTGATAATAATAGCAACTATTACTCAACAAGGATAATCGTAATTATTAATAATACAAAAAATAATTAGTGATTCATTAATCACTAACAGTTAATAATTAATAATAACCATAATAATGCTAATAATGGTATAACCAATGACAACTAATAGCTACTACTACTACTACTACTACTACTACTACTACTACTACTACTACTACTACTACTACTACTACTACTACTACTACTACTACTAAGAATAATAATAATCATAATAATCATAATAGTTATAGTAATACTAATGATAATAATAACACGAAAACAGATAAATGATACTAATAAGAACACTCTTAATAGTAACAATGGTACTAACACTAAGAACAATAATAATTGTAAACGCTGCGCGTTGCTCGCCTCGGCCAAGCCGCGCGCGCAGCGTCTGTGGTTCGACTGCAAGCAGCAGAGCTGGTCAAGTGGCGAGGTTCTGGCGTCGCTGGACCAATTGATGTCATGGGCCCGCAGCAATCTACGAGGCAAGGCCAAGGCGATGCGCAGCACAAGGCGAGCTGGGATGGGTCTTGCTTGGGTTGGTTGGTTGGGCTGGGCCTGGACATGCGAGTGTAGTTTTAGGCTGGCCTGGGCTTGGGGCTGGGACTTGCTTGTGTGGGTTGCTGGTTGGGCTGGGCGCTAGTCTCAGACAGGTCAGACAGGCCTGGCCAGCAGGAGGTCATGCTTTTCGGGGTTGAAAGACTATTTTTGGTGAGTTTTTTGAAACAGAGGCTGGGCGCTCTCCCGGCCATTTTCAGCGCATTCTCAGCGCATTTCTGGACAACGAGCCCCGAAAATTTCAAGGCCCGCCGGACAGGATCTTAGGGGATTCCCTTTGCGAAAAACATTTGCAAGAATGACGATAATAATAATCATGATAATAACAACAACAGAAATATATACATATATATATATAGTCGTACATACACGTACAAAAGAACAGTATACATATGTGCGTGTGTGTATATATATATATACATGTACACACTGCAATCATATGTATACATGTATTTACAGAACCATGGAGCCAGATAATTCACCAGCAGCGTTTGTAAGGTGCTGAAGACGGTGCGATTGAACGGCCTGGGCCCTAATCCGCCTTTGCAGTTCTACACATTAAAGAGAGCGAGCCCTTATGAAAGCCATGGTTGGAAAGATTGGTTTGAGCAACCCCACCCCTGGTGCACTTCAAAGAACAACCGCAAGAAGGTTTCATAGTGGTTCGAACATGTTTTGCCTAGGGGGTGGCGCAATCCTGTAAGAACTCTCTTGATTTGAACATGTTTGTCTTAGCAGCGCGAAAGGGCGGGAGTAATGTGGATTGAGGTGCGTGCGCATGGACACACATGACACTTCGGTTCTACAAGATGTTCTTGTCATGTTCTGTGGAGGCAAGTTTTGTCAGGCTTACACTTCCTTTTGGTCGGTAGGAGGGGTGACTACCGAGGGTGAGTCTCATGAAGAAGAACTCCAGTTTGGAAGCCCTGCTTTGATTTGCCCATAGAAACACAAACACAAACACAAGCTCCCACACACACACACACGCAAACACAGAGAAACACGAAACACACACCCACACACACGCACACTTCCACACACACACAGACTCGCAAGCACTTCCACACACAAAGCCACACGCTGAATTCACACACACACACTTCCGAACACACAAGCACACACACAAACACACGCACAAACACACCAACGCGCACAAAGACGCACACAGACACACACTCACAAGCACAAATACAAACACAAACGCAATCACAAACACAAACACAAACACACATTCACACAACCACACAACCACACAACCACACAAATACACAAACACACAAACACACAAGCACACACACACAAACACAAACACACAAAAGACACGAACACACACACACGCGTACTAATATATATATATATATATGTATATGTATATATATATATACACACCCACACCCACGCCCACACCCACACGCACAGAACATGGAACGCAAAGAGGTGCAGCCGCGCCCTGCTATGTTTGCTGTGCTGAGTGCTGAGTGGCAAGATGCCAAGTATACCGCATGTCCATCACTACAAGACACAGCCGAAACACGCGCGATACTTAAGGTGACTTTGAAGCCATTGATTCCTTGGCAGTTGATGTGGCGGTTCGGCTTCCGAGCCAAAGTGCTTGTGCCAGGCATTGTGCCCATGGACGGGCGGACAGCCCCGCGCAGCGCTCCGCGCGCGCCGCGGGGACTCCAGCCCCCGGGGCCTGCAATGGAGGCCCAGGAGAGGTGAGAACTGGTGAGGGCAGAGGATGGGAAGGTGTCGGATGTTTCGAAGGGCGCAACACTCTGAAGGAAGCAAAAAGGGAATCAGCCACTTGGGACCTGTAGTGGTGGCAGAGCCACAGGAAGGTTCCAAGCTTTCGGCAGCCAGCCATAGTCCAACGAAGCAAGCTCAATTGCTCACCAGTTGTGCTGTAACATAGTGTTGCCCTGCGCCTCCCGCATCAGATTGCTGTATGCAACGCACATCAGGCCCATCAATGTGCGCTTCCAACGTGTAATTATGAAACAATAAGCAGCAAATGTGGCACAAAAGCCAACCACGGCGCACGTCGCGGAGCTCTCATACAGCGGTAGGTGGAAACTGAGCGGAACCTGCAGCCATCCTTGTGGAGGTGCTTACCTCTTCATATCTGGCAGCACAGATGGTGCGAGAAGAGTCCGAGCCTTCAGAGAGTTGATGGCGTGAGCCTTCGTGCCAAGTCGTTCATCCTGTAAGACTGCAAATTATTAGCTTTATATGCAAACTTCTTCAACATTATTGATGCTTTCAACCGGGCAATCTTGTATGTCTTGTCTTCATTGAGGGAAGGGGGACTAGAGCCAAGATAACTTTCGATTTTGAAAGCGGCAGGTTTTGAAGCATGACAGCAACAACCAAGTTTGCGGAGTGCACATCAACCTGTGCTTTGTTAAGTATCACTCGTTACCTTGTCTCTGAATGATCAGGCCAAGAGTTCATTTACACCCGGTGCGTTCAGCCATACCACTGACATCAACGGCCCGAACGCAGGATATTGCCACAACGTCAGCACAAAACAACGAGGTGAGCTTCGAGGCGTGATTGGCCACGGGTTCTGGTCGATCAAATGATTTAAATTTAAGATGTATTTAACATCTTATTTTACGCTTCGAGTATTGTGACTGGTCCAGATGAGTTCGTGCAACCAATGTCTCACCCTGCCCTTCTCACTCCGTTTGCCTGCCCCGGCTGGGAATAGAAGCTGCCAAGCCATGCGTTGATTCCGGAAGGCAAAGTTTGTTACACCCTTTTTTTGCACTCCTGCAAAGGCAGCATGAAACAAAGACTTTGGGGACCCAACCAGGTATCATGTTTCCCGTGCGGCTTCTGGCATGCTCAACACCCATATTGTCATGGTGGCCCTTGGCGTGTTTCTTCACAATGAGCGCGGAAGACACAAATTCTGGGTCGATGCGCGTGTCATTGGATCCCAAGAGCCGATGGATGTTGGCCGTTGGGCGTGTGCCAGGTGCTGCGCGCGCAGGCGCGGAGTGCGGGCAGCCGCCTGCAGAGCTTCGGCCAGCGGAGCAGCACCGAGGTGGAAGGTGCGGCTGGGCTGGGGTGCGGGGGGGTGGGGGGTGGGGTGGCCTGGGTGGGTGGAGTTGGGGGAGGGGGTGGAATGTGGGGAGGTCTAAGAGAATAACCGCCGACGGCGGTTGATTTGGTTCATCGCAAGTGTAGTCACGCCCTTATCCGGGACGATGCTGGCTTTCTATTCTTGGGAATGCCTGGTGTTAGGTGGGTGAAGTACAACGCTGCACCCAAGTCGTTGTGCGATTCGCCATACTATTTCAATCAGACAAGACCGCTCGATCTAGGTGCTTATAAAGACAAACTGACATCTCATGTAATTCCAGAGGGCTGCTTTAGATCGCAGCTTCGGTATATGTGCAGATCATAGCTGCATAATATGGATTTGTCCGACTGGCAAACAACAGTCATCTCGCAAAACCGTGCCCGCATCATCACCAGCATCTCAAACAGCACCCCAAACAGCACCTACACAAGCACCCCAAACTGCACGCCCCAGCACCTAGCTGTCAATCTCGCAAGTCACTTTCCCTTATTTATTAGAAGTTAGAACCCTTTGTGGCTTTCAGCTATCTGGGGAACAAAGCTGCGTTTCCACACAGCTGCATGAAGGCCTATGAGCAGAGGTTCTGTTGTGGATGCACGGAAGCAACTCGATATCGAGCGGGGTAGGATACTCTTCTTGTCACATGCACGCTGCAACTTGAGGGGCCGCTGATTTTCAGGCTTCCTGTGGTATGCCAGGGCATGGTTGATTTGGAGAGCAGGTTTTCCTTGACCAGTTGTTAGCCTCGCAAAACAGGACAACCACACTTACCACACTTACACCTGTCTCTGGACAGATGCATGAAGCAGGTGGCTTCGTGCGGCCCGTGAAGCCGCTGGCGAGCCAGGGAGCTTATGGAACACCGGAAGGTGTTGGGACTGGCGTGTGAAACCAAAACAGGCTTTGTGATTCTGACGCCTGCCCATTCGACCGGTGTGCTTTTGACAGGACAGGGCCTGTTCTTTTTGTTCTTTCTGTATGTGTTGAGACGTCATCATTGTCATCATCGTCGTCAGCCGTCAGCATCATCGTCCTTGTTCGCAGCTGCCGGTACTAGGAACCGCCGACCTTGGCACACCATTTGTCGCCCAGATTGAGGGGACTGTAGGGGTTTGGCTTTTGTTCATCATGAAAGGCATTTTTGGACGTTTGACCATGATCAGTTTGATCTTTTGAATGCATGGCAAGTTTCGCTGCACTTTCTATCCGGGCATCTTGCGCTCACACTGAACGATATTTCATTCCAGCATCATGATTGCACATGTCGCGGCTTTGCTTGCAGACCAGTGTTTCAATCAATGCATGCACGACTGGTGATCCAGCAATGAGTAGTGCGTCGCTCGGGACAGACTTGTGACACCTCCTCCGCCAAACCTGCGATGCCGTTTGCGTTGCTTGGCTTGCGCAAAGGCACACTTGGCTCGTGTCAATGGACTAGATGACTTCGCATTGATTCGGCCTGGCTTGCTCTCCATCACTTCCGAACTACTTTGTTCGGTTTTCTCGAATGCTGCGCTGCTTCGGCACGACCCCAATTGCAGACGCTTTGGGGTGTTTCCAGCCGTTCAGAAGCTACGCGCTTGAAAGCCAAAGCCCCGCCTCAAGTCCACATGATCCAATCCGATGCTTTGCTGCCAACAATCAGCATTTTCGTCAATGCCTTTGCGCCGGTCAGGCACTTGACGCATGCCGCGTCATCATGCAAAGGCTGCCAAACGTACATGTCAAGGCATCGGCTACAGTAAATCATTGGCCATCATTTGCCCTTTCAAGCCGTTGGAGGTTGATGGAATGGTTAGCGGTTAGCGACTCCCCTAGGATACATCGATTCTGTCTTCTTTCATGTGAGAGCCTCAAAGGATATCCACGGAAGGGCCGCAAAATGCCCATGCCTTGGGCCTTGGGATGCCAAGGTTCCTGCAGCATCTTCCGGATGAAGTCGGGACCTCGGCTGCTTAGGGCAGGACAGAAGAGAATCCACAGTACTGGTGTACTGTGGTTGAATGTTTCAACGTTGGGAACATAGTATGACTCAGTGGCATTTGGGGGGGCATGGATCATGCAAGCAAGTGGTAGAATGTCCTTTCCATGAGAAGGCGGCACGTTCGCATATTGGGGGGGTCTCGTTAGACAAACTTTAAAATATGTTGGTGTTTGCAATGCTTTCGTCACAATGGATGGTATTTTGCAAGCAGCTGTCTTTGGAAAGCAATCTGTGCTGGGCAGTCGTGATACAATGCTCGTCCCTCCAGGGACCCGGGTTCGAAGAAGTTGGTTCCAGCTTGCACCAAAGGACCGTCATGTGTAGCATGCTAGAGTCGTTTGTTTATAGTAGAAAGATAGAACCAGTAAACCTCATGTTCCAGTTTGCACCAAGAACTCATTCAACGGAACCCATGTTGTTCAAACATGGTGAGTTGTCAAGTGTCGCCCCTGGTGAGTTCTGCATTGAAGTCGAGCCCTGGAGCCATGAATCCTTCGAGGCCCCAGCCCAGCCCGCACCGCCCGGTGGTTTTTGTGAGCGAGTGACACGCAGTCGGAGACGACGCTTTTGGCCTTGGAAGAGGAATTGGGTTGCTCCAAAAAAGAAAAAAACTGACTGAGTTCCTTTTGTTGCCTTACTTGTAGAACAGCTTTGCCCTTCAAGGCCAGCATATTTGGAGCAACGCTGAGAATGGTGAGATGTACAAAGTCCTGCTCTCTGGATCAGAAACAGTTCTGGGAAGACAGCTTGGCTGGCCCAGGACAGAAGGACAGAGCTGCTGTTCTAGTGCTTGCAATCTGCTCTTGTTTTAGAAGTTGTTCTGTGCAAGTTGCCTACTGGTGGTAGCCTAGTAGTCTACTTGCTCCCGTTAGCCTTACAAGCGCTTGAACCGATCAACATGATCAGCTCTCCCTGGTCTAGCCACACCAGCACTCCAGCCCGCATGGGCTTCTGACTGGCGTCGAGACACCCCACCAGTGCCGCCATCTCGCTGTGGCAGAAGGGCTTTTCCGCGCGCACGAGGACCCCCAAGAGACTGTTCGGGGCAATGGCCAAGTGAAATGTGCTATGGATTTTCGAATCAGGAACCAAGTCGCATGAATCCCCGCATAACGATGTCCATCAACAGGTCCCTAATTGAGATCTATGCCCATGTCCCATGTCACTTATTGGATTCGCACGAAACACAGGGACCACGTCAACCGAAGCCGCTCCCTGCAACTGCAAACTGTGGGATATTTGCTCAGAATCACAAGCAAGTTGATCAACATCAATAACTAGGGTGAGCAATTGGAATATATGCCTCCCATTCCTCTTTGGACCTTGCTCTTGGAGTGCTTCTATTGTTCCATTTTTCCGGACCCAGATGTCAAAGTAAAGCGAACTCTAAAGTCCCTAAGAGTCCTGCCTGCCCAACACTTCGGGTTTGAAGTCAGCCCTCTGCGCAAGCCTTGCCCAGCGGTTGCAGACGGGCGGCGCTTGCCTCGCTTTGCAAAAGGGAAGTGTCGTGAGCTGCGGGACCTTTGCCGTTGGACTGGGCCGTTCTTGGACTCGTTCCCCCATGCAGCTGATGGACAATATGTTACCCCGCCATCTCGTAGAGTTGTTCGTGGCTTTCCTTTGGCCCATCTATGGGCTTGCCCTAGTGCTGTCCCCTTGCTGCTCCATGGGATCCAGGTGGTTCAGGTGATTCAACCAGCCATGTCAGCCATGCGTAGGAATCCGTCGTACCCATGCTACCATCCTTGCAAGGGACTCAAAAGACCTACATCCGCTGCGCAGGCCCTCCAACTCCGGGAGCCGCAAGGCCCAGGCGCTGGGTGGTTTCAGATCTTCGGCTGCGGATGTTGGCCGTGCTCTGCAGCCGTAGATTTCACATAGTTTGATGTATTTTGACAGCTCAGCTCGGACTGCCAGGAGTACCGGCAGAAGCACGAGATGAAGGCGAGCCCAAAGTGACACGTCCCGGTGGCTGCGCATTCAACTGGTACCTTTGTGATTTCTCAGAAACGCAACAGAAGTTTTAGTCCTAGCCTTGCGCCGGGGCCCTTCAGGGTAACACCAAACGGAGGTTGGTCAAAAACAAAATCCCTTGCTCTAATGCAAATCCCAAATAGATTACTGAACTGATGAAGACATCAATTGGACTGTTCAGGAACCAGCAACTTTGTGGGATCGGCCTCAGCTCATTGCCACCAGGTCATAAGCTCCTTCAGCGGTCAAGTTCCGACGCCCATTCAGGAGTTCGAGGCGGGCAGACGAGCCAAGGGAGACAACGCACAGGACCATGCACGCAAAACAAACTTTGAGCACCATGCACCACAGTGCATACAGGCATTCGGATGTCTCACAATACAACATGATATGCACCAAGACAGCATGAAGTTGCACTGGAGGCGAGCGTTTGTATTTTGTATGCCGACTCATTTGGAAACTTAGTTTTGCAAGCTTTAGGCGATGAACATTTGACCCCCATCCTGTTTTCATACTGGCAGGCCAGTTTCGCAGTTTCGAGCTAGTTCGAGAGCGCGTTAGTTGTACTAGATTATCCAAGTGTTGTTGCTTGCTTCTGGGAAATCTACCACCTAGACACTGAGCTCCTCATTTTTGTGCGACTGGTGTCTCCAAAAGCGCCCAGACTGCACAATGAGTGCTTGCAGTGTGATGTGCATCACGTTGCATTGTGCCCCAAATGTAAGCAGTTGCTGCTGCCAGGGACAAAATGGGCCTGTGCTCCCTTTTGTCGTGTGTTCCACGTAACCTAATAGAAGGGGCTAGATAGTTACTCATAGACTCTCCCAGAATCATGACTAAAGTACCTGAATCCCATTCTCATGATTCAGAGCCCGAAATTCTGACCTTTCTGCTGCTAAGCCAAATTATTGGGGCAAGTCGGGTTGTGCTAGTTGGAGTGCAGTGGGAAGCAACACCAAGCTAATTCATGTAACCGCAGGCGCTTTGACACGTGAGCGCGCCCAACACCTTATTGGCCATTTCTACTGCCTGGTTTGCTCGAGAATGTAGGGGCAGCCGAATAAGAACCGTGTTAGCGGAACAACAAGTCAGCCTAGGGTGTGGTCCTTGCGACGCCCCGTAATCAAGCCAATCTACATCTCACTTTACGTAGCGGACTGCCATTCACCACCCCGCACTGACCATCTCCGGGTTGCCTTACGCCCAACGCCTGCGGTTTCCGCCAGGCGGCAGGGCTCCCGGCGGCTGTCTTGAAGGAGATCAAGGACGCCAACTTCACGGCGCCCACGCCCATCCAGGCAAGGCAGGTTCGTGCGCGGGTTGACCGGCCTATGGGAAGACTCAGGGCAGTGGATTTCACCTGTTTGCCCTTGTTCTTTGGCGGATTCCTCACTAGAAATGGTCAACCCCAAACAGGATTCCCGTAGGGTCAGGCAACTAGGAAGATCTTGGAGACGATCGCGCACTAGGACCTTCGTTCATTACTGAATGAAACTGGACAGAAACAAACCGAGGTTACCTTGCTTCTCTCTGATCTGCAGGTCTTTAGGTTTTGGGCTGGTTTGTTGTTACGTGGTCGAGGAGGACCAGGTCCGCCACATGCCGCTGCTTGCATCATGTTCGGCATCGTGTTCGGCACGAGGCACAGTGTTGGCCCATCCTCAGCGCTGGCCACGACCTCATTGGCATCGCCAAGAGCGGCAGCGGCAAGACGTTGGCGCCGGGCAGCCCAATCGCGAAGCTGCCCACAGGCTGAGCCTCCCAAACTCAAGCCCCTTGAATTCGGGAGAGGCTGAGTTTTCTAGCACACAAATCTGTTGTGTTTGAGAAAGAACTTTTTGTAATCAGCTTGTTGAAAGATCAGGTGAAGCCGTGCTTCTCGTGAGCCGATTTGATTTTGTTGCCTCGTGCGTCAATTTGCCACTACCACACATGCCAAATGTGGCTTTCTTGAGGCCGGAGGTCTTTGATTAGGCATGGCAGGAGTGCCATGTTGATGCAAACTCAATTGCCCTTTCGGTCCGAACATGAGCGTGCAACATCAACGGATGCGAGGATCTTTCTCCTTCGATACGTTCTCCAACTTTCAACCCGGCCACAACAGCTGAGCCACCAGCCCGTCTTTTTGGTCAAGCCGTCGGCGGCCGACGCGCCCCGTGTCCGACGCCATGGAGGGCCTGCTGCCGCGGCCCCCGGGGCGGATCCGCATGATGCCGCGCCTGGAGGAGGCGGCGGCGCAGCTGGAGGCGGGGTGACATGGGCGTCTGGAGGCCTTGTGTTTTAAAGCTCCAAAAACAAAGGGGTGTTCCTTTAAATATTTAAGGGCGGAAAAGAAGGGGGTGGCTTTTCTTGCTTTGGTGCTGAGCCTTATGGGATTTTCTCCAAACACGTCTTGGTTTTTGGATGTGCTTGGTGGAAGACAAAAGCAAAGGGTCTTGGTTGTGGTCCAGTCCGTCGAGGGATCGGGCTTTTCTTGTTGTCCAACAGCCAGATTGAATATTGTAATGGCCGTGGCCAGAATGGATTACGGACCGTAGCTTGGCGTGTTGGCTTGGCTTTGTTCTGTATAGCATGGTTGATGTGGCCGGCATGTGTTGTCGCTTTGCGCCCGTAAGGCAAAGCATGCACCAACTACCATGCTGGATATGTTCCCAGTTGTTGTCGAGAGTGTGTTCCTTGTTTGGATCAAGGGATATCACATGGAAACACGTGGGTATGAGTCAAAATAGGGGATCCAACAAGTGTTGGTTGCCCTTTTGGTGTCCGTTTGAACCAAGGTGAAAAGGGTATCCTCCAAAAAAGACACGCACCCCTACACTTATCCTAACGATCTGAGCGCTGATTTGGAGCGAAGCTCACGCGGCACCAGACTCATTTCCGGGGATCCTCCATTGGGGTGTGTCTGTTTTTGGCGGGTGCCCTTTTTGGGGTGGTTTTAAAGGGACGCCAAAGGAACAGGCACCATTTTCTATTTAAAGACAATTTGGAGGCAACGGCTTGAAATTGCGCGCTGAAAGCCAGGACCTCCAGCAGAGCGACGAGCCGGAGGCCGCCATGTCTCTGATGACTCGCATGGTCACCATCGACGAGTCCATGTTCATCAGCCTCTTCCCCTTCGTTGCGGAGGACACTGAGACCCGGAGATGCAGGGGAGGTACCTTCCACGACAAGACTTCAATAACAGCGACAAAAACAAAAATAACAGTGATAAATAATTGAGCTTCATACCAAGACAAATAAAAAAGGTTCATACCACGATAAAGAATTTTGGTCCATGCGGCTGCTCCAAAGAACGTGTGTTTTGCACTTTTGGGGGGCCAAAAAGCTCAAAACACACCTGAACTTTCTGGGGCCCTGTTACAAATGTTTCAAAGAACGTGTGTTTTGAGCTTTTTGGCGCCCAAAAAGCCGTCCATTACCTCCTTACAAGCTCCTTATAAAGCTCTTCACAAGGCTCCTTGTAAAGCTCCAAATGCAGCTCCTGAAAGAGCTCCTCACAAAGCTCCTTATAAAGCTCCTGGACTTTCTGGGGCCCTGTTCAAAGAACGTGTGTTTTGAGCTTTTTGGCGCCCAACAACTGCAAAACACACGTTCTTTGAAACAGCCGTCCATTTCTGGGGCCCTGTTTCAAAGAACGTGTGTTTTGAGCTTTTTGGCGCCCAAAAACTGCAAAATACACGTTCGTTGAAACAGCCGTCCATTTCGAACAGCCGTCCATTAGCTCCTTACAAGCTCCTTATAAAGCTCTTCACAAGGCTCCTTATAAAGCTCCAAATACAGCTCCTGAAAGAGCTCCTCACAAAGCTCCTTATAAGGAGCTTGTAAGGAGCAAATGGACGGCTGTTCCGAAGAACGCGTGTTTTGCAGTTTTTGGGCGCCAAAAAGCTCAAAACACACGTTCTTTGAAACAGGGCCCCAGAAAGTTCAGAAGCTTCATAAGGAGCTTTGTGAGGAGCTGTATTTGGAGCTTTATAAGGAGCCTTGTGAAGAGCTTTATAAGGAGCTTGTAAGGAGCTAATGGACGGCTGTTCCAAAGAACATGTGTTTTGCAGTTTTTGGGCGCCAAAAAGCTCAAAACACACGTTCTTTGAAACAGGGCCCCAGAAATGGACGGCTGTTTCAAAGAACGTGTGTTTGCAGCTTTTGGGCGCCAAAAAACTCAAAACACACGTTCTTTGAAACAGGGCCCCAGAAAGTTCAGGAGCTTTATAAGGAGCTTTGTGAGGAGCTCTTTCAGGAGCTGTATTTGGAGCTTTATAAGGAGCCTTGTGAAGAGCTCTCTTCACAAGGCTCCTTATAAAGCTCCAAATACAGCTCCTCAAAGAGCTCCTCACAAAGCTCCTGAACTTCTGGGGCCCTGTTTCAAAGAACGTGTGTTTTGAGCTTTTTGGCGCCCAAAAACTGCAAAACACACGTTCTTTGAAACAGCCGTCCATTTCGAACAGCCGTCCATTAGCTCCTTACAAGCTCCTTATAAAGCTCTTCACAAGGCTCCTTATAAAGCTCCTGGACTTTCTGGGGCCCTGTTTCAAAGAACGTGTGTTTTGAGCTTTTTGGCGCCCAAAAACTGCAAAACACACGTTCTTTGAAACAGCCGTCCATTCCTGAGGCCCTGTTTCAACAACGTGTGTTTTGAGCTTTTTGGCGCCCAAAAACTGCAAAACACACGTTCTTTGGAACAGCCGTCCATTAGCTCCTTACAAGCTCCTTATAAAGCTCTTCACAAAGGTTTTTAAAGAGCTCCTGAGCTTTCTCCAAATACAGCTCCTGAAAGAGCTCCTCACAAAGCTCCTTATAAGGAGCTTTGTGAGGAGCTCTTTCAGGAGCTGCATTTGGAGCTTTATAAGCAGCTTGCAAGGAGCTAATGGACGGCTGTTCCAAAGAACGCGTGTTTTGCAGTTTTTGGGCGCCAAAAAGCTCAAAAACACGTTGTTTGAAACAGGGCCCCAGAAATGGACGGCTGTTCCAAAGAGTGTGTGTTTTGCAGTTTTTGGGTGCCAAAAGTGCAAAACACACGTTCTTTGAATAAACCGTCCATTGTTGGAAGAAGGGAAGAAGGAAGGAAGCAGGATAAGGAGGGAGGCCTGTTTCAAGGAAGGAAGGATCCGCTTTTTGAGGGAAGAAGGAAGGAAGCAGGAGAAGGAGGGAGGCCTGTTTCAAGGAAGGAAGGATCCGCTTTTTGAGCTTATCGTGTTTTTTTTTCGTAGTAAGAAAAATAATTCCGAGTCGTGGTAGGAACAATTTCTGTCGTGGTTGGAAAGCTGTTGTGAAGCGTGGTTGGTGCACCCCCTCCCCGGAGATGTGTCAAAAAAATGGATTTTTGAACCCCAATCTAGCGAGGGGTACGATCCGGATTTCTGTTTCCAGGGCGTAGCATGGGTAGATGCTTACGCCATTGTAGCTATGTTGGTCGCCACATGGGTATGAGCAACGCGGGTCTTGCGTGTTGTTTGAATTTCTGGAGACCTGGAAGAAGTTTGTTCGTGCTGGCCATGCACTGAACACTCACCCCGCAACGTCCAATGGACATCATGAAGGATGGTTTGCTCAGTTAGGACTTGTCAAGTGACGCAACGCAATGCTAATCCTATTGGCATGTGTGCTCAGATGCAAGCTCTTTAAGCCAGTTGACAAGAGTTTTTGCCCGATCCTTTTGCATCGCATGGAACGGAAGATGAAGTGCTAGGAGACGCTGATAACGCGGGATATGATGGGCCGCACCCTGCTGCACTACGCGGCGGCGCTGGGCCGCTTGGGTGCTCTGCACCTAGCCTGCCAGAGGGGCTGCAAAAGTTGAAAAGGAGCAAAGGATGGGCTTTGGGCCGGTGAAATGCTAGGGCTCACCATGCGCCCCCAATTCGACCAGTCATGCTAAGTGCCCTGGCAGCGGTCGCAGCATAAACGCTTAGCTGGAGAATGGGTGAGAACCTCACTTTCGAATTGTGTGTGTGTGTGTTTGCGTGTTTTTGTGTTTGTCTGTCGGTCTGTCGGTCTGTTTGCGTTTTCGCTTGCGTTTGCGCTTGTGTTTGCGTTTGCGTCTCTGTGAGCGTGAGTATTTGTGCATCGTCCTGAGCAAACACACAGCGCCTTCTGCTTTCCAACTTGTAAGACCCTCACCATATAATATATATTAATATATATATATATATTATAAACAAACCACACACATACATATATATATATATATATGTATAATGAAATTCCATTGGAAGTGGCTTTGAGCTAGCCTGAACTGTGCCCCACCTAGCTCGCCAAGATATGGGTACCACCCAACATTTTCCCAGAGCCGCTCCTGGTTCCTTTTGGGGAGATCGGAGGTCGCTGCTGCTGGGCGCCAACGCCTGCGACCCCAACGCCATGGACGACCGCGGGGACACGGCGCTGCACCTGGCGGCGGGCAACGGTGACAAGGGCGCCTGCCAGGCCGGCCGCGGCCGCGTTGGAGTCGAGCCACGAGCTCCCGAGCTTAGGGAACCCGTAGCAAGGGGCCGAAGGACCGATGTGCTTTCCTTTCGTGCGGAAGAAGGGACCCTACTGCCCTCAATCTGAAAATGGAATCCCCGAAGAAGGGTCCGCTAAAGGTTGACTTCTTTTGTAATCGTGCTTGTTTCAGGGTTCCACGGTTCATGCCAGGTTTGGGAGGGGTGACTTAAGCAACAAATAAAGAATGGTTTTGAACATTTTCCAGCACTCTAGCAGGAGGGACATCGCGATTTCCCATGAAGTTTTGCCCATGGCTCATAAAAGTGTGCCTTTCTTAGACCCCATCATGGTGGTTTTCCTTTGGTGCTCCTCACCACACAGTAGCCGGGTCGCCTCAAAGAAGACGCGCCGCCTATCGCCAGCTGTTGCTCTCCAACGCCCGGGTGGACCGCAGCCTGCAGGACGACGCCGGGCGCACGGCGCTGGACGTGGCGCACTCCGCGGCGGCGCACTACTTCGCCACCGAGGCGGTGCACGCCCTGGCGATGTGAGCGAGCGAGCGACGAGCGATGTGAGTCCGAGCCGAGTCCGTTTTGTCCCGACATGGGTCGCAGGACTTATAGAAAGTACACACTGACAGGTTCACCGAACCAATCTTTCCGAGAACAGCTTTGTCGTTTGCGCGATCCAAGGGATGGATGCGGGTTGAGCCCAGGTTCTCACTGTCTTTGGATTGCAGCAAAGCACTGAGAATTTAAGATTTATCGTTTGGCTTGCCTTCTCAAAGGTTAGATGTAATCCCTTTCTCGTTTTCCCAGAAGACAAATATTGGGGGGCCCGACTTCCTGTTTGCCCTCGGCGCTTGTGCAAATGAGGTCTCCCTTTCCGGGCCCGAACGTTGTTGAACACGGCAATATCCGAGTAAGGAATTCAAACAGCATAAACTAAACCAACACTTTGTTTGTGCCCCCTGGTGTGGCTGGAGTTGGGGACGGTAGGGGAAGTCATTGGTTTAGCATTTGTTTCAAAAATGGCAATTCTACATTCAGTATTCCCGAACCTGAAACTGTAGGAAATTTTGGAAAATATTGTTCATTACCAGTAGGACCTTTATTATTAGGAAGCTTGGATCAGGATGGCAAGCCTTACACAGAGAATGAATGCTTCAAAGGAGCCGAGATGCATCGAATTGTCCCACCTGGGCCAATGCACATCTTCCAGGCATCCTGCCCGTAGCGGCAAGTTTTCAGCAGCTTATGCTCATGTCTCACAATGAAAAACCAAATTTTCAAGGTGTCCTCGACACTTTCATTACCCCGCGTTTTTGAAAGTCGTGCTAATTGCCAGTCTCGTGTCCAATATGAGCGGGAGGACACTTCCGTTACCCTAAGACTTCTGCGAACATGTCACTTTGTTTTAGTGTTGTGTATCTCTTGAACATGGAGGCAGATGCGGCCGTTCCCATTCTGGTTGAGGTCACTGTTCCATGCATGTTCGCTCACCAACTTGACCGAGCGTCGCGACCTCACGACCGGGACCCGGGATGCCCCAGATTGGGAGGTGCACCCTGATGCGCCATCTGTCGAGTTTAGTCCTGGGGGCCCGTTAGCCAGCCCGTTTAGCTCGAACAAAAGGGGCCGCAGTCGTGCTCGTACAGACTTGATACAGGAACAAGCAGTCTGTGACTGTCTTGCTGCGAGTGTTGACACGCAATGCACGTGTGATTGTTGGCTGTTTGGCTGCCCTGCACTTGGCTGCTAGATGTGTCTGCTGACAAGTCACTGTCAAGTGTTGATGTGTCTGCTGACAAGTTGGAGCTGTCGCTGCTTGATTGCCAGGATTGTTGTTGTGAAGCAAGCTGAAATGCGGGGAAACATTACGATGACCAGAGATGAGGTTTTTAGTTTGCAGAAAGACGGAGGCGGGAAGGCAGAAAGGACAGAGGGGCTTGAGGCTTTCAGTTATGTTTGACACATACTAATGCCCAGTGATTTGTCACATCTCCTCACCATCGGAGCTTGATTGCCTTTAGATTCTGAATATCGTCCCGTATTCATTGGCACATCGGTCCCAGAAGGACATGTTCTACGAACACAACTCTATTGCAATATTGCAGCTCAACGATTTGTTCCGGGGAAGGTATCTTATGCAACACAATTGCCCGGTAGCTGATGTAATTTAAGCATCTCTATGCACGCGATCTTTTGTTTCGAAACGCAGCCGATGCCTCGGGATGTGCCCAACTATTCGTTCCGCTTCGAATCTGGGAAGCTATTCGAACTTCCTTTGACGTTAGGCTTCCAAGCTTCATGAGCAGCATGCGGACCTTGTTGTCTAATGTTTGCGTTCTGAGAACTGTAGGAAAGGTGACATTAATTTCAATGTTGTCCTAAGGGGAGAAGACCGCTACAGTTGCTCCCCCAGAAATCAACATGGCAGATGAATTCATCTTAGAGGGCTGTTTCCCTACAGAGTGAAGGCTCCCCTCGAATGGCACATCCCATGAATCAGCTGGGGGGTATCAATCCTGGGTTCCCGCTAAGATATTCACTTTCTTCCTTCTAGGGACGAGGTTCCTTCGGCTCAGGTTCCTTGGCCCTGGCTTTGCGCAGATCCTGCGGGCCAGCTCCGATGTACATAAGGGGCCTATGGTGCACCCTCCGATTCCGGTGATTTGTTTGGGATGGGAAGACGCCTGTGCTACTGAATCTGGTTCCAGCTTGGTGAGAGATGGCAGTCCTGAAGAGTTCGAGTTGTCCTTGGTGGTTTGGCAGACATTGCTGCTTCGAAGGGGGCTAGGGAGCAACAATTTGGAGAGAAAGGAATGCAATCTGTCAGTTTGTCTCCAGCGGGCTTTTCGTATACAGCCCTACAGCCGCGCATGAAGCTATAGTAATATGTTGGAATGTGTCACACAAAACAGTTGTATTTGCCCGCTTTGATATGCTCCTGCTGCTTTTTGTTGCTGCAGTTGTTGTCACTGAGTTTCACTTGAGTATCACTAGCACGCTTTGCTCTTCCAGCGCAGTTGAGAGGATGCTCAATCCATCACTATTCCCGGACTGGGCACGTGCGAAAAGGCAATATGTGGGGACTTGTAAGCTGTAGCTCATACCAACTGCCCTTTGTCACCCTGCACATGGATTTGCATGAATTCTACAACATCAGCTGCATTTTGTTCTATCCTTGGTACCTACGAATTAGGTTCGAAGCCTCAAGAAACCTCTCAGTTTGCAGCTCCTCAGCGAGTCTATGCAGGTCCAGCACGGCCGTCGCAGCTGCACATGCCTTTGAGAAGGCACTTTTCTCATCCACTCAGCCTGAAACGCTTTACCGACCTTGCCCTCAGTTGAAGCACCTGAGGCAGCGTTACGCTATTGTTTGTCTTGTGCTACCCACCCGGCCTATCCTGCCTGCATCATACACCCTCTAAAGCATGCATGGTACTCAGAAATCCCATGCTGAGCGTGCTTAGCTCAGCAGCTCTTCGATTTTTGCCCGGCAGGGGCCTCAGCCAGGCGCTTCCAGTGAGCCAGATTTCCAGATTTCCAGTCACAGGGCTTAACATGTCCCTTTTTGGACATTGTCGTAAGCGAGCATGGCTTGTCTCGAAAGCTAGGCTGTGCAAGCAAATGCATGGGCTGAATCCCCACTTGATTCTATTAAGAATCAACCATGTTCGTACCGACCTTGGACCGCCCCGGCCGACGCGGGGCCTAGGCTTCCATGCGGGTGGGAAGGTTCTGACAGTTCGACTGTTCCTAAAAGGACCATGCAAGAAGTGGACATATCAACGGTTGGAATATGCATAGGCCAGTGTATGACGTGAAATCTTGACTTGTTGATTGTATCAACTGTATCCAACATTTGGGTGAGTTTAATTCGTCCAATCAATAACGCAGTCCTAGGCTCGCTTCGGCCCCAAACAGCCCCTGACTGCCTCGCCCGTTCTTCTGCTGCTTGCGAGCTTTCGTCCACCCCATGCCTGCTCAAGTGAACGCTATCAATAAGATCCGCCATTTGCAGCTCGGCCGGGGTGAAGGGCCACGACTTTTTTAGTTTTTCCACCCAGATTCCGGGTGTTCGACTCGGCTTTGGCTGCCACGAGGCCATGCATGAAGTTCTCTAAACTTCTGGAGGAGTACACTCTCCCCGAGTGGAAAGGGCCTGGGGAGCCCAGTCACGCGAATTCGCATCGTGGGAGAGCAAGGCCTCAGTTTCAATGGCCGGGGGCAGGGGATGCTCAATCTTCTTGAGGTTTGGATTCAGACTCTCCACATGTGTACCTGCATGTATTAGCATTTTCTCCTTCCTTTATTAACATGTATTGGAGGCCGAGGTGATGCCTTTCAATGGTGCGCACGCATTTGTATGGTTACTGGGATGGAGTGTTGCGTGTTGTTTACCTTGTCCAGCACAAACTCTGGCCCTTTCCTGTTGGCGCTTGCTCGCGTTTTTTTGGTTGCATGACAGCGGGCAGCAGGTTGCCTAGTGGCTATGTACTGCTCCAGCCATCCACACTCTGGCCAAGTACCACAGAGGCCCAGCAGATGCAGTCCCTTTGCTGAGGAAGTACATCTCCTACTACTTGCTGAAGAAGCCAGCTTCCCAGATGATATCAGTGATATCGAGTATCAATCCCTTGGCGCGGACAAGTCTTTGGAGCGACCTGAAACAGAGAGGAGAGGATAGTCGCTGCCTGCGCTTGATGCCCGAGCCCCAATTGCGACCATGCCGGCCTGAAACGCTAGATGCAGCCAACTGTCCCGGGGTGCGCAACTAGGTGTTCCGCAGCCATGATTAGGATTCCGGTGTCCTTCGCTTCCACTGAAGACTGCATGATGTGAACGGAAGTCGCGGAAGGCAGAAAAACTGTTACGCTTCTCAAGTTTCTGGCTGAGAGTAACGTGGTAGAGGCGTACTAACGTGCTAGCGACCCCCACAGGGCACTTTGTGAGCCATGGAACAGTTGTTGGAATGGTGTTTGAGTATGTGCCATGTTCAGAAGCCTTGCTGATGGTGTAAAAAGCCGCAAGGAAGCTATTTGGACGGCTCGGACCCGCAAATGGTGACTTACTTCCATTTCGGTTTCCGGTAAGAGCAAGGTGAAAAGGGTACCAAGCGGTACTATCACGTGGGGTACCCACGTAACGTCGTAACGTGGAGACTGCCACTGAGGAGACTCTCTGACATTGCGGCGGGTCGTTTGCAGGAGGCTTTGAGGGAATTGCCCCAGCCTCAGTACGTGACCGGCCCACACAAAACACAAGTTTGCTTTGGCATTTGCGGCACCTTGGAGTCTTTCGTGATTTTGCTTTGGGGATTGTGAGATTGAAGTGTTGAAGATTCCCAGCACTCCGGTTTATGGCCCAAGCATGCTAAGCACAAAAGGACAGCGCCCTCCTTCAGGTAGCCCGATTGAAGTTTCACAAGCCAGAGTCTTCAATCCTAAAGTGCTTGGAAGCGCTTCAAAGCAGCTCAGGGCAAGAAAGAGTGGGGATTGAAGATTCAACAGCCAGAGTGCTGACTGAGAGTCTTCAATCGTAAATCTTGTATCTCAAACAACCTAGTGCGTGTTGGAGAAAATCGTGCAGATGTGCAGGTATAAACATATTCATGTTTGGGAAGTCTGGAAGAAGGGTCAAACACACTGCACGCACCAGCAAATGTTAGCTGAAGCGAAGCGCAGATGGTGTCTTTCATCAAGCCCTTGGATAGTTCCAACATCGCGAAACGTGTTTGTAGGTGCAAGCTCTGAAGACTGTGCAGCCTGATTCCCATGTTTAATCTATGTTCCTGAGAAACCTGTAACATCTTCTTTTTTATGGAGCCCCTCAAATGTTTACACAATCGGACTTAGAGCCTTTTTGCTTCTTAGATGTTCCAAATGCAAATCCATTTTGTTTGCCTTTGTGTAGGAGCTAGATAATGCTCAGGTGATGCACCAACACAACTCAAATGCATTGAACCTTTGGTTGTGCCTTACCCCACGTCTCAATTCATGACAACCTTGGTACAACGTTGGAAAATTATGTAAACCCAACAAGTACTTGGAGGAATGGCTAAATAGGTAATGCATACTCAGTGTTTCTAGTATGCAGAGAGGGCGCATGGGCCCAGCCGCAGTGGGTCTGCGCTCTCAGGGCCTCAGTTCCTTCGATTCCGGAAGGCAGGGGGCGGAATGGGTGAGAGGATTTTGCCAGTGTTGTATACCTACCTGTTTTTTGTTTGTGTGTGAGAAGCTACAAATCTTTTTTGCAGTAGGTGGAGGTGTTGGTCACTTGGCCCTTTGATCAGGTCCAAGCGCCTTTGTTGTTGATAGCGAGTACTGACCCACAAGCGAGTTGGGTGGTTGTGGGCTAGCAGCAGTTCGTGGTTGATCAGGTACCGGAATCCGAAAGATGTTCTGGAGATGCTTGCAATTCCAGACATGCGGGCCAGTAACTCGTCAAATGACCTCGCCCAGAATGAAAGTGGCTTTGCCAGGCACCCTACTTCAGCTCGTCAAATTATCATGATTCACTGCCTGACCACCAAGAACATACAACAGAACTTGACCCTAGCTTCTTAGACATCGGGACGGGTTGACCGAATGCAAGACTACTCTTCCAGAAACCTGGACCGCGCAGTGGACAAGCAGACAGTTGCCACTTGCACGGTTCTTGATCGCCTTCACGCACCGATCGCTTCGCTCGGCTGCGCAGAGCGCACCTCCTTTTGGAATATTAGCAGCCATTCCGCATGGATTGTGACACCCACTCTGTAGGATGGTGCTTGCTGCCCAGCTGGCCAATTGATTTGGACATTTGCAGATGTTTCGAATCGCAGCATTGTTGCCCGTCTGACCAGTAGACCAGCAGCTGTCAAATCCAGTCTTGAGATATAGCAATGAAATCAAATTATCTTTTGTTGGCTGAAGCACAAACACCATTCAACTGCTTGGATTGGGGCAAGAAGGGGTTTGCTTGCAGCATCTTCTCATGGGAACACTGAAGCTCCAATTACGCGGCTTTAAGGAAGCCTGCTCCTCGGATGCACGTGGCATGCTGGGAAAATGAACCATGCATCCAGCGAGCGGGTGCTGTTCCAGGCGCAAGCTCCAGCCTGCGACCGCGACCGGTCACCCCACAGCTGGCGGCTCAATGCCTCCTGCGACATGGGTACTTAGTGCCCCTGGATTGGGTTCTACAAGGTTGCAGACTTTTGGGCGGACCTGATTCCTGTTTTGGAATCCAAGAAGGGGGTGCTCCAAAAAGGAGGCTCCTCTAAGATGAACTGCTGCTTGTCGGTTCCATGTTCCTCGTGAGCTACTGACCGCAGGTCCACATTTCTTGGGCCGCCGCAGCCTCGATCGCAAGAACCAGCTGGGCCGACGTCTCTTGTGTGGCGGAAGTTAGGTCAGCGACCAGTTTGGAAGACGTCTTTGCAAGCTGCACTTGGGCCATGAGAAAAATGAACCATGAGAACTTGGATATACATCCTCTTTCTTCGGCTGTCATGACTTCTTGGTGTGGCGCCCGTGACGTGCTGGTTCCGTAATTAATGTTTAGATTCACATGTGGTTGTCTTCAAAACCTGTTTGTTGAAGCTGCTCAGTTGTGCAAAACCGACCTTGTGACCTTTGGGTTTCCCAGTTTCAGGGTCACGATCAAGGTCCGGGCTGTTTAAGTGATGGCATGGATCCGGTTTTGTCATCTGAGTTGGGTCGGAACCAACGTCAGGAACTCCTTCGCGGCAGATGACAAGCCTCTGCCTTTGCTTAGCCAAGACCTTGCCAGAGAGGTGGGGTGGGTTAAGATGGGTTCGGCGAGGACAGAGAAGCCTTTGGGGCTGGATTCGCATGCATTGGCCTGACACGTCGTTTGGACAGAATTCGCCTATGCCAGGCCACGTTGCTGACCCCGCCTGACGAAATAAGGGCATACCCCCGAATTCCGGCTGATGCCCCTTCAAATGCCACCAGGAAGCAAGCTAGCCGTCCAGACCGTGGCCTTTGTGTTCGGCCCAGCTTGCTGGTTCCGCTGTCAACAAACTTGGAGATTTCGATATGATTGAAAGGCAAGATCAACAAGCAAGTGGGGGGGGGGGGGGTTGATTCTTGCTGGTGCCCCCCCCCCCCACACCTTGACTCGAATTGGGGGACGTTCCACTTGCAAGTGCCTTTGAACAAGAACTCAACTGGGACCCGACAGCAGGCTTCGGGAACTTGGCGAAACCATGCGCAAGAGGCAAGCATCTCGAGCCATGACCGCCGATGACTGTGGTACTTGTCTCACTTGACGGTGCCAGGCTTGGCTGGCAGTCCTGCAGAAGGAGGCGCCAAGGGGGAATACTTCAGAGCATGCCATCGCTCCAGAGACATGCCCCTTAAATGTTTGTGCGAGTGGCCGGGCAGGTGTTAAGATCGAGCTCCATCTCACGCGATTGGATCAACCTTCGGCAGGTGCGCCGCGTGGACTTGAACGTGAATCGCGGCTTGGAGGAGTAGCACCGTACCGGCTCCATCTGATGATACCCGCAGAAATATATTCCTCCTTGTTTTGCTTGTCAGATCACTGCGTGAAGATAATACATTGGGCTATGTGGCGCAAGCGTATATATGATATATGCTTGTTTGTGCTGGTAGTACGCTCCTTGTGAGACGATCAAGGAGCATCTTGTTTGAAACCAACTCGACTATCAGGTCACATCTGATCCAAGACAATGCTTCTCGTGGCAGGCAGCCGACCGGTTCGCGCTGGTCCCCCGGCGTCGCGCACGCGCACGCGACTCGTTCGAAGGAGCTGCAGAGGCAATTTCTGGACCTCACGCAGCTCTCGCAGCGGGGCGCGGTGAGTTGGCCAATGGCGTACCGGGGTCCACCCTTTCTGCGGTTTACAAGCTCGTCGAAGGAGCCAACCCGATTCTTTCTACTTTCAGACATATCATAGTTGTACTTCTAACTTCAGCAATATTACAATCGAATTGTTAAGAGCCACTTTTTGCCAAAATTGAGGTCTTTTCTTGTCAATTCAGCGGCTGTTTTTCCTGTTGCCTTTCTTGACTGCCGACTCATGTTGTTTTCCGGATGAATGCACGCCAATGATTCAAGAGTTGAAGCCCTGTGGATCTTCTTATCCCAAAACATTATGGAACTTGCTGCACTACTGTGCAAAACCATCTTCGCCGTTTTATTGGCACAACGGTTTCTGACGCACCAACATCGCTGATAATCATACTGAGCAATCAAACTGGCCGTCCTTGGACAATTGCAGTCTCATGTTTTATTCAGTATTGGGCATGGCGAATTGCCTGGTTGTGAAGTCCCTTTGACAATTGACAATACCTGACGGACATCTTCCCCTGACCATGCACAGCTTTCTTTGACTGCAACGATGCGTTGTATACCCACAACCTGGCTAATCTCATCGCAGGACGAAGGATGGCTCTTGGTTCGGCTGGAGAGCTGCAATCGATTTTGGGATCTGAGTTTGTTGCCCGTCGATTTGCTGGTTGCCCACATGAGTTGTCCGTTTGTCTGGCTATCTACATTGCTTGATTTCCCCATTCCCCACACCAAATATTTTAGTTCCACTTTGGCTAGGTTTGCCTGCCTTTCACGGGAGTACGGGAAGAGGGCATGAAGCCCAAAGCCCAAATGCTTGTTGTGGCTACCCATACCAGCTCAGCATTCTGGCGGCCTTGGCAGACATCAAAGCGCTCTCCTGCCGGGGCTCAAGTATCACCGCTGAGAATCTGCCAGATGAACGGAGCCAGCGGTGAAGCCGCTCCCAAGTTCGATGTTTGGCCATCCGCAGACTGTGAAGTCAGAGGGAAGAACCCGGTGGCCACCTGGAGCGCCTCAACTCCGTGTGGCATAGGGCATTGGGGCATTCCGCATGACCTCCCAAAGAAAGAGACCGTCACAGGGCGCGGTGTGACCACGGTGAAAGCTCGCTCTCTTGACTGCACAGAACTCAAGCCGCAAGCTTGATCTGCAAAGAGGCGCCGCGCGCCGCGCGCAGCTCGCGCCATGCCGCCGAAGCCGGCGGCGCCCAAGGCGAAGGCCGGCGCCGGCAAGGCGGCAGCCCGCCGGCCCAGCGCGTCGAAGCAGCCCGCGCGCCCGGGCAGCGCACGCCCAGGTGAGACGGGGGAGGTGGCAGGGGCAAGACTCGAATCCGAAAAAGCCAAGCTGAAAGGCGGCAAGTTGAATCACTGGCAGCCTGGCTAATTGGATGCTTATGCCAGGCGTGCGCTTACAGGGGAGCGCGTGTTTTGAGTTGTGCCACTGGAAAGGCATCCTTGCAACTGGTGTCAATCACAACAACTGTCAATGGACACTTGTCTTGCATCCAAACCGTAAACTTGTTCTGATGGCTTAATCTCAATAAGTGCCTTAACTCGGACTTCCGTTCCTGGAAAGTCTGACAATGCCTTTGCTGAGCGTGAAATCAAAGCCAGTTTAGCTTTCCGATTCTAAGCTGTGAGAGTTTTTGACACTGTATCGATTCGGGAGAGTGAATCAGTCACGACATGCCATCCTCCTTGCCATCGCCAGGCAGCAAGAAATCAACCGCCCTGAATCTTCCGCTCCTTGAGATCGATACCAAGGCCAGGGTTCAGACTCGTTAATGTGGATCGCATTGCTGACACGAGGATGGCACCAGCAACCGGCTTTAACCTGTGCAGGTGTGCATGTGTGTGTTCTCTGGACATGGAGCAGCCTGCATGATCTAATCATCTAATCGGTTGTGTTTTCAATGAGTTGTGCTTGATATTTCCAGCCGCAGGAATCCTCTTTTTGTGGTTGGGAAGGGTTTCAATGACCCATGTACACTCATACCATGTTTGCCTTCGAAAGCGAGCAGAAGAGATCTGTTAAGGCTGTTGACGTTTTGTTGATGGCTCCACACCGCAGGTGAAGTGACGGGTCGTTGCCAAGAAACTTTTGCTACAGACATAAACAATAGATTGCAATGAGGGACACAAGATGTGTGACACCTTACCTGGGGTTCTCGTTTTGCTGCCTTTGTATCTCTCGGTGGTGTCCAGTGGCCTTAGTGAAACCATTGGCGTGAACTTAGACGTTGCAAGTCTGCCAGGGACACAACCGGGTTGCCCATGTTGCCCAAGACCGCTGGGAACGCGTGGCGCCTGCGTTCCGGCGTGCCGGAGGTGAGCAACATCCCGCGCCGGGATCTGCCGACGAAGATCGGGGGGCTGGAGGTCTGGGGGCAGCACGGCCTGCCGCGGCCGCTGCTGGAGACCATTCTCGGCCTGCCGTTTGTCCAAGGCGAACGGGTGCCGGGGGAAAGGGCGGCAGATGGTGGAAGCATGGCCAGATTGTCCGGACACGTCGAATGTGGTAAAGTGGGTGCCTGGAATGGATTTGCTTGGTTTGTTCAATGTTTCAAGGACAAATGTCAGGGATTGGCTTAAGATTTGCTGGAGCGAACTGGGGCCTGCAATTATCCCTCTGCCTCTCAGATCACCCTAGATCTGTGGTTCTGGTGGAAAGCTGGAGTGGCTTCACGAGACAACGGGCGCAGATGCAGGAAGTCGTTTCGCTTTCAGAGTTTCGGCGGGGCCAAGCATTCCACACTGGGCGAAGTATCCTCACGTCAGGCCACTCCAAGATCTACTTGCATCGCATATCGCTGTACCAGCGGCCCCAGGAGCGACCGCCTCCTCTGGCTGTAAGCGGCAGCATGCGAGGCGCCGCGACCGCATCTTAAGCCCCAACCAGAAGCAGAACAGTGAGTCACAACTTGAGACTTGGGTGCTAGCGTAGACTGCCTTCATGCGAATGGTGAGGCAGCCCTTGTGCAAATTGTGTAAGGGTACTCCAAAGTACTCCATTCAAGAGTCAGCTCTTTAGCACTCATGCCATGACGGAGTAGTTGAAACTTTCCATTCCCAGCACAGAGATTTGGGCAAGGTGGTGTCACCTGGTTTCAGTCATCTTCCGAGGCGGTAAGTCGAGTGCACCGCCGGTTCCGCTACACCCTGCCCATACCGAAGAGAGCCGCGAGGAGAGCCGTTCTTGGCGAAGTGCAACGGGTTGCGATTTCAGCATGGTACTGAACAAGAATGCTAGCGGTCATGGGTTTCTCGTCTGTGCCACAGTTGGCAGTTCAAGAGGATTCTCTCTCTCTCTCTCTCTCTCTGATGCGGACAGCTTTCGAATCATATGTTCAAGGACCAAGGCATCAAGCTTGCGCTACAAGTTGCCCGGCTCAGATCGGCCCTTCCCCAAATGTTTCAAGCGAGCAAACAGCGGCGCCCGTCAGGTGGCAGCCGATGCACGATATGTTATGAAAGTTATGAATGATAGGGAGGGGCCATGCCGGTCTTTGATTTTGCATTGTAGCCTTACGAGACATGGCCTAACACCAAAACATCGTAGTGTTGGTTGGCAAATGGATGAGGTAGAGGCGAGGTGCCAGGGGCCATGCCATGAGAACAAGCGGCATCGCAGGAGGAGGCGGACCTGCCATCGCTCTTTGTGGCGCTGTGCCCTGAGAGCCGGCCCGTTCTGCTGCGAATTGGCCTGGCGCAGATATTGGAGGAAGAGGCCCGGGCTCGAGTCGACGCCAAAAGGGGGGGATGCCATGGAGATATGGAGACAGGGTGGAGACGTGTCAGGACCTGCCCTCGAGGCTGAATTACACATTGTCTGATGATCATGTGATGATCGTGACTTGATGTGAACTTAAGCTACCCCACAACCTAATTTTGAATTTTAGCCCGCCCTGTAAAGTACACACAGCCCCACATTTCACCGTGGCTCAGCGGCACAAAAATCGAGGATTGCGGGATTGCGGAATGTGGACTTCAGCAAGTTTTGCCAGCCTCAGACACATGCACCAAAACAGACATGGTTGTGAAACAGCTGGGTTTTAGTGCCACTTTCCGTGGGAATTCCCTTAAACTCGAGAGTGATAGCCTGGGCCATGGGGATGCCCACTTTAGTATCACAGAAGATATTGTTTCTACAGCGACATTGCTGAGGTGCAGGATCTGCCTGACTTCCTGGAGGCTTACGGGCATTGGTGCCCGGACCTCACTGACCCCAAGGCTCGGCACCGGGGAGCTCGCTCGCCGAGGGACAAATGAGCTCCATTGATACCTTGCGGATTCATGGAGGTGCGCCCCTTGTTGGTTCCTTGTGTGGAATTCGAGTGCCCTCAGTCCGGGATGCGATGCCTATTTCGAGCCACTGCTCGCTGGATAGCGCGCACATGCCAAAGTGCCCTTCTCGTTGGCTTTCTTTGAAGAATCAGATGCGGGCTTTGTCTGACAGAAGTCGAGAGTCCAGTTTTGGAGTGGATTTTGCGGACTGGATTTTCGTTACAATGTTGCGCCGTCGCTTCGCATTATGGTTGGGGCTTGATTCCATGGAGCATGTAAATCACTTTCACAGGACTGTCAGGCTGTTTTTTGTTTGTTTGGGGGGGGAGTGCCAGTTCAAATTGTCGAGCTGCAATGGATATACAAGGGACCAAATAGGCTTGTGTGTGAGTGTGTCTTTTTTGGGGGTATCCCTTTGGGGTGTCTTTGAAGGGAAATCAAAGGGAAACCATCACCATGTTTGGCCCCTGTCTCGAGACAGATAGCACAAATGTGTCAAAGGGAATGCCGTGGTACACCTGCTATCTGAGATAGTCGGCAGCCGCCACAAGCACAGTGTCATGGTGGTCCCTTTGGCCGGCGGGCGCTGCCTTTTGCCGCCACTTGCGCGTGAGCCCATGGTGGAGCAGATACTTGGCGTGAGATGCTTTTGAGTTGGAATTCACGAGGTGGCGGCAAAAAAGTGACAGCAGAACAACCGCAATCAGAGCCAGCCGTTTTGTATGTTATTTTTTTTGTGATGGATGCCAAAGAAGAGATTTGCATTTGCAGCGAAACGCCCCCATGCTTGTGAACATTTCTGATCAGATTGCGTGCAAGCGTTTCTCTTGGTCAGTGGCGGGGCTTGATGCAATTAAGTCCAGCCTTTGATGCACGCATAGTCCGCCTTGCATGTCTTGGAGCACACTTAAAGAAAAGCCTTGCCTGGAAAGTGACATGACCATACATGACCCACACCCAAGACACCAGCTTGCCGCTGCCATTAGCAGCTACTGCGCCCGCAATGCTGTGTTTTTTCTTTTTCCTTGGGGTACTGGGGTTAGCTAGGTGAAGTATCAGACTGTAGCCAGGGTGACAGTGTCCAGATAGTTTCTAGTTTGGTTCATTCTAATTATTTACCAGTAGAACCCGTCGATTTGTCCAAAAGGACACTCACGGATGGACGGAATTCTGCACCAGTGGAAAACTAGGTGGTGTATCCCTATACATCCCAATATTTGTAGGGTTTTTGCCGTCGGTGCGAAGTGAATTCCATCGGTGCGGCCAGGATCACGAGCTTCACCCAGACCTTTATTGAAGCGCTGAGAGACGACTCTGACCTGCCCCTCACGGTGAGCAAGGCGTTGAAGGCGTGGCTCACCCCTCGGGGCTGGGAGTTTTGTCGTCTTAGTCCTTTCTTCCCATGGGGGCTGTTGTGAAGAAAACCTTTGTTGCTAATTACACTCCCTCAGACTAACATGGAAGCTCCCAGAAGGCCTCTGTAAATGGAACCCAGTCTTCTAAAGGGGTCCAGGGAGCTTCCATGTTAGTCTGGGGGAGGATAGTCTACATCAAAAGGAAGACCACCTGTTTTTGGGGTCCTCCAAATTCGGCAAACAACACATCCACGAGGTTGGCTTCTCTTCATTGCCAAATGTGCTTTGATGTGTTGCATCCCTGGGGCAACCACACCACATTTCGCGACAGAAGCTTGATCTCAAGATACCGTTCATACGTGCAACCCGCCAAAGGCGATATTTGTCAGTTCGGCGCCTCGGGATGCATTGGCCGTTGCAATCAGTCGGTCGGCCGCTTCGAACTCCCCCGAAGGCGACGCAGCACGTGTGCTGCAGCCTGCTGTTGCAGCCGATGCAGCACTGCACGGAACGCGTGCTGAACCTGACTCAGGTCTTCACGAACCTGGAAGACTTGATGCTAGGCGGATGGGAACTCTGGGAAGTCGCACATTTCGGAGAGCCCCTCAATCCGCTCAATCCTTCGGTGTTTGTTGTTCGCATGGGGTCTAACTTCAAAACGGCTCAGTTCGTGCGCTCTGGAAAGAGCTCGGGATGATCGGCACGTTGGAGTGCTAGCAACACTGGGGTTGCTGAAGTAGCCTTATTCAGGCAGATGCTGCTTCTTTGTTTCTTCTTGCGTGTGTTTGCACTTTGTTGCCCTGCCCCAGACTGATCGAAGTGCCGCTGGCTCTGCATGATGAATGCCAGATCTTTGTCTTCAAGAGTTTTCGGGGTGCGTGCCATGGAACTGATAATATTTTCTCGCGCGTTCTGGCTGGGCAGCTGGGATTGCACCTTCCAATCTTCCAACGTAGCCATCGTTTCCCCCGACTGCTGTCATTGTTCTGTCTTACTACGTAAGTGTTTGTTTCAATGTGTGTTCTCGATTGCGACAGGGCTGGTGCCGATGTGTTTTTCTCGCACTGCACGAGCATCGCTGCCTGGATTTGGACAACCTGCGGGTGTTGTCATGTCTACAATGATTCTGGTTTCAAAGTTAACATGGCTAGCCGCAACTGAAACTCAAACATATATTGGCGTGCGTAGCTGCTCAGCACAACATTGGCCCACGTTATCTAGTTAAGAGCTGTGTTCTATTCCCAGAGCATTGTGGTCAGTAACGTTCACAGCCCCAAGCACATGTCAGGCAGAACGCACCCCGAGCTGGGTGTCGACTACTTCGATGGCTTGGGTGCCAGTGGCATGGTGGCGGACCAGGTGGACGACTTCCGGGGGGGGCCGCTCTCAGATGGCATCCCCGTGCAGGAGCTTAACAAGATGGTCACCTGGAGGAAAACTTGCTGAGGGAATGACCCTTATAGACCATCCCTTGTGGTTTCCCTTAAGGGGACCCCTGAGTTCCTTCCCACATTCCCTACTGAGCACCCCCCAGCAAGAAAACGTAGTTGAGTAGTGACGTGAACTGAGTCGAGTTGGGAGCAAAGCAATCAATTACATGGGATGAACACATGTAGATTCAGCTGGGGCATGGAGCACGGGATGTTCTAAATCATCGTTGAGAGGAACCGATTCGCTTTGCCACCGGACTGACACATCCGATTCGGTTTGTCTCTCTCCGGTTATCGGATCTGAGGTCTTTGAGCTGGTTCCGGGCATGAAGCAGACGAGGCCCACGCAGTTCTTGAACTGGTTCCACGCCCAGATGCAGCAGTCAGGCAATCGCTGGCTTCTCAAGGCTCGGGCGGACCTTCGGTTGCTTTGAGCAAGGGAAGCTCCCTTCGGTGACTTATCCTCTTTGAACGCCTGTCATTGCTGAGCACATCAGACCTCAATGTTGGGGTCTGCGTTCGTGGAGGATAGGAATGAGGGCGAGGCAACCAGTACAACAATGCAGACAATGAGCATACATTGTGCATGGCAGTCGGAAGGAGCGTTTTTCATCCAGCTTTGAGACATTGGGAGAATGAGCGGACAGTGAGAGATATTTGGACTGGGCATAATTGGGGCCTTCGTGCACCAACGTGTCTTATTGACTCGCGTGCTGCATGTCGGCAGGCCTACTATTCCGACAGCCCTGCGCCCATCGAGTTTGATTCTGTGCTGCAGGACATGGCAGACCGCTGAGAAAGCTCAAGCGGCGGTTGCTGCTGCCTTGCATGTTAACTAAGATAGGCACGGTTGCACGGGTAGGTTGGCGCGGGGATGCAGCAACTCAACTATTGATTGTTTTTGTTTGGGCACACTGGTACGGGCTTAGCTTGGATAGCTTCTGCCGAGATGCTCACCCTGGTTCTGAATATCCTTTCACGATCTCCCTTGTCGTTGTTGGGGTCATGGTCATGTGCATCCTGAGCCCCCCACCCCCCTGAATCATGCGGCAACCATGCCACTTAGGTCCGACATTATGCAATGTTCTGCATGGGACTGGCAAGATTCTTCTCAACCGTGCCATGAGGCAGCACTAATTTTGCCGTCGTCTGCATTGTCAGACTCCTGTTGTGTGGGTGCTGTGTGGAAGAGACTACTGCCACAAGCCGTGTCACTCAGTACAAAGGAAGCAGCATGAAAGCTACTTGGGTGCATTGCTTCTCGCTTGCCAGCGCCAGGATGAAGATGGGCACGCCTTCGTCTTGCCCTTCAGCGCCAATGCCCAGTTCTACCGCCTCGGCACGCTGCGAGAGGGTGAGGAGCGCCAGGATGCCGGAGGTTCGCGCGGTCTCGGCCGCCCAAAGGAACCTTGAGGGCGGAGCAGCGGCTTGCGACGATTTTTGTTTGAAGCATGTCTGCACTGAGGAGTCGTCATCACTGGTGTTTTTGAAGATACTGAACAGGAATTGGATGGCCCCTATTTGGTTATTTGGTTGTTTGGATACAATCCTTCCTTATGCCAGATAGGGGGTTTCCTTGTTGCAAAGGTGTCCCACTGCGGATTATTCTTATTCTGAACAACCCAGGTGAATGGAAGAGATACCAATTTGTCTTTATCATTGCTTTGGCTTGATCTTGTGCGATTGCTCGATCGGATTGGCAGGTGAGGTAACAGCCTTTTGCAAGTACGGGTGTGTCTCGCACAGGAAAAAGCTCGAGTCACCGCAGCATTGTTTTAGTTGAGATCGAACGATTTGTAATATCGCTCTCAATCATGTCTCCCAACGCGCCACCGCCCTGTACAATTCCAACCCCTTTGCCAAGTGGAAGTCCATGGCTCAGCATGGTCTCCCAAAGCTCAACCGGCTCCGAAGCAAAACACACAGGCAGTATCGCTGAATATTCTGCACTAAGTTTCGGGAAGTGGCAATGGCAAACGGTAAATTTTGGGGTGTTGGGATGAGTTGGGAGCGGGCACTGCATGGCGTTCGTGAGATCCATTTGATCCATGCAGGAGTTGAAGCACCGCCACATATTCGCACGCCTGGCCAGATGGCTACTGCCAGCTCGGCTGGTTTTGCTCGAGTTGCCACAAATAGTTTCCAAGTGGTGTTGCTGCGTTGCTCAGGCATTGCTCACCACCAACTCGACTTGTTGGCCCAACAAGTGTGTGTTTTCCTGTTCTTCCAGCTATATTGGCTCCATTTTGAGAGTTCAGCCGGGAATGTTGGACCCTCTTGTATGACCCCCACGGTGCACATTGGTCCCAGGTTTCTGAATATGTAAAACAAGTTTCTACGATAGCGACCCCAATCATTAGACGTCCAACATTAATCAAGCAAGCTTGCCACCTTGCAAGAAAGCAAGCAACGCGCCCAGTTTAATAAATCTGCAAGAAGCCAACTCAACCGCCAGCCCATAAACACGCCAGCACCACCAGAAGCCCTTTCTGACAGTCTTGCCAAACCCTAAGCTAGCCCGCCACGCATGAACCCTAACACAAAGCCAGCCTAAGGCAACAGCCCAAAAACTTGCCCTTAGCCCTGAGACTCTGCTTGGGCGTGGTCAACATTACGAACCAATACAAGAAACGGGAAGAGTTGTGACAGGCTGGACCCCAGGGCCCGAAACCCAGGCTAAGAAACCATTTTCGTTGGGTGTTACTGTTTTCGGGGACCCCTTTAAAATGGTGGTGCTCCTTTCGGTTTCCCTTTAAATCCAAACAATAGGGGGTACCCTCAACAAGGGACATATATATATATATATAATACCTATATATATATATATTATTCAATCTTCATGCAAAATGATCGTCAGCAAAGGTTCCATTTATCCACTACTGGAAACATAAATGGGTCCCCCAAGTGGGTAGCAGCTTTGAAAGTCGTGCTGTTTGTTGCTAAGGAAGCATCTCCAGTCATCAAAAGTATTCCAGGAACCACCGTGGCTTGCCAGGTCCGGGCTCTTAATCTTTGCGCCCCTCGAGTCGCCGGCGGACCAGAAGCAGCTACGGGAGCTGGTCCTGCTCCTGGCCAGCCGCCGGGCCTTGTGTCAGGCTACTTGATAGGGGCGCAACTTTCTTGCAGCATCCTGAACAAAAAAAACTCGACTGGTGTCATTTAGAGGTCAGTTGCTTGAGAAGAAAGGATTGCGCTGGTGTCAGCTTGGTCCAGTTGTTTCACCAGTGCCGACTTTTGATCCAAAAGCACGGCTGTGCTGCTGCTCCCTTTCTTCTAATGCGGCACCTGTGAGAAGGTAATAACCTGGAGGATCAATTTCCTCCTGAAGCGACCCCCTGTGCCATCCAGCAGGTGTTTTCACAGGACAGGGTTCGTCGGAAAATCGCAGCTTGTGAATTGTCCTCGAGGCGCCAAGATAAACAACAATAGATGCTTGTCAAGGCATGCCGCGCTTTGCCAATTTGGTACACACACACACTCTCTCGTGCGTGGTTTCGCGGGGCGAAGATGTGTCGTGGGGTCATGTTCAGGCGAGCGTGGATTGCATTTGAATGTCTTGTCAAGACGATGCTGTTTGTGTCAACACATTGAAGCCATGTTGTCGCTCCAGTGGGTTGCCAACCCCTCCAAGGTATGCCAGAGGAAGACATCGGCAGCATGTGCCCTCCACCTCCCCCAGACGGCTCTCTGCACATGCGATTCGTTTGGGCCTTCTGTCGTCGGGTGATCCGCTGCTTTCGTGGCCTGGCAGGGGACAATGGGGTTGGGCCTGTTTGATTTACGCGCGAGCAGCATTACCCCTGGGAGTATCAAAAGCCAGGTGTCTGGTTTCCTTGTGCTATCTGTCCACAGGGTTCCCAGCTGTTGTGAAAGCGGACTTTCTCCAGGCAAGACTGTTTCCGAGCCTCCTGCGCTGAAACGGGGCTCTCGACAAGACCCTGAGTTTTCTTAACAGCTCCTATAATATGCAGACATCCACATGATTCGGCTTGAGCCTGGTTTTGACCCAAGTGCTCAGTCACGAGTCGAGTCAGAGGCCAGAGAGCAAAATAAATCCGGCTAAGGACTTTCATATCCTTTGTAGACCGCTCTGGAGACAATTACATCAGAAACACTGTGCTGAGGTGACGGTCCTGAATCAGTCAAAAGATTTTGGGCATTTATCAAAATGATGAAGAGCTCTCCCCCAGCAACGGCTAGAGGACCCGTGATGCTCCTATCCCAAGGCAAGCCGGTTCCCATTTCTGTGCTGCTCTTTTGTCTGGCACCTGCATTCAGCAATCAGCCGTGATGCAGAGGCGGGAGCCAGCTTGATCCCCTTGCAGGTGAATGGGTGTTTTGCCTTCATGCAAAGGAAAAGCTTCCTTCTGCGCGTCCAGGATGGCATACCACCATGATGATAGACGGCAAGCTGGCACCTCGTCCGATCTTGTGATGTATTGGATGATAGCACTTGAAGCAATTTCTTGGAGCGCTACTGCTGCTGGTATCCTGTCGTTCCTACTACGGATATGCCCGCTACTACGACTGCTTATGCTGCTGCTGCTACTGCTACCACTACCACTACCACTACCACTACTACCACTACTACCACTACTACTACCACCACCACCACCACCACCACCACCACCACCACCACCACCACCACCACCACCACCACCACCACCACCACCACCACCACCACCACCACCACCACCACCACCACCACCACCACCACCACCACCACCACCACCACCACCACCACCACCACCACCACCACCACCACCACCACCACCACCACCACCACCACCACCACCACCACCACCACCACCACCACCACCACCACCACCACCACCACCACCACCACCACCACCACCACCACCACCACCACCACCACCACCACCACCACCACCACCACCTACTACTACCGCTACCACTACCACTAACGCTGCTGCTGCTACTGGTATTGCTGCTACTGCTAATGCTGCTGCTGCTCCATGCTGCTGCTTCTACTACTGCTACTACCACCACCACCACCACCACCACCACCACCACCACCACCACCACCACCACCACCACCGGTCACCACGACCACCCACCGCCGCCACAACCACCACGCCGCCGCCGCTGCTTCTAGTCCTTTTCTTGGCCTAGGTCTCAGTGCCGCAGCCGGGGCTACAGATGGTTTGGGCCCTGCTGGACGCAGCCCTGGAGTGTGTGTGCTCAGAACACAGCCGCTCCTGCCCGGAGCGGAAGCGGCTGGCCCTTTTCGCGTCTGTGGCCTTTGCAGTGCGCCTCGCCGCGGCCAGCCGAAAGATGGACGAGGCCAGGTGGTTGGGCTGCGGGTCCTTGTGGAGGTTCTGTTTGGGTTTGTTGGGTTTGGAGGTTTTTTCCGAGCATGAAACATGGCCCTTTGAACCTCAATTTTTGTATGGGCCGTTCTTGGTAGACACAAAGTTTGGGCCAAGCGTGTTGCTAACGCCATGCACTTCATCATTGCCGTTGTTTTGCATCCATGCCACAGGTGCCCTGGATGGAGAAGACCAGGCGGGATGGGGTGATCAGAAGAGGCAAGCAGGAACACGCGGAAGTGGGGCAGGTTGCCCAACACATATGCATTGAGTTTCATGGAAGGCAACTTGATGAGCTAACAGATGCCAGCTTGATTGCTACAATTTGCTATGTCGTTTCGTCGCACACAAGATATATAGCGAGCAGGCCACCTACCCACGTCTGTGTTGGAGTTGGTTTTTAGACACTTCCACGGCTCAGGCTGTGGGGCCGCTTCGACGATGGCGTGGACATCGAGGGCCTGGCAAGCCACGTCTATACCTCGCGCTTTGGGGTGAAAGAGGCCTGGTCCAAGGATCCCGTGACACAGGAGGTGCGATCCATCTTCCGCGATGCGCCTCAGCCAAATACTCAGATCTCTCGTCTGACCTGCTTTGTTACGAGCAAGTTGTTGTATTTTTGTTGGGGACAGGGAGTCTATCTGAAGTGCCAACCAGAATCTTTGCAAGATGTGTTACGTTTGTATGGGCTGTGTTTGAGGGCAAGCAAAGAGAAATCATTTTGCAGCTTTGGCATTTTAATTCTAGGCGCAGGATGGAGCACTCTTTTGCAGACCAACATGGACCGTCCACTTGAAAATGCAACCCCCGAGCCCCGAATCGCACGACTCGGCACTCAGGACCTACCCTGGGAAGTGATCCCTTTGGAGGAGGAAGATGAGGATGTGAAGACTGTCTTCCCAGAGGACGAGGAGCGCTTGATGCCGGATGATGTGCTGAGTATGCATACATACATAGACAGACATACATACATACTTGCATGCATGCATAACTACATACATACATTGCATACCTCACATTGCATTTCATTACAGTGCCTTACATTGCATTGCATTGCATTGCATCACATTGCATTACATTGCATTACAATGCATTACAATGCATTACATTGTATTACATGCATAAGGTCACACACACACATATACATACGTACGTACATACGTACATACATACATACCATAACATAACATAACATAGCATAGCATAGCATAACATAGCATAGCATACAATACATTACATTACATTAACTTACATTACATTACATTACATTACATTACATTACATTGCATTACATTACATACCATACCATACCATACCATACCACACCACACCACACCACACCACACCATACCATACATACATACATACATACATACATACATACATACATACATACATACATACATACATACATACATACATACATACATACATACATACATACACACATACACACATACATACATTACATTACATTACATTACATTACATTACATTGCATTACATTGCATTGCATTGCATTGCATTGCATTGCATTGCATTGCATTGCATTGCATTGCATTACATTACATTACATTACATTACATTACATTACATTACATTACATACATACATACATACATACATACATACATACATACACACACATGCCTGTCTTTACTTTACATTACATGTATATGCACGCATATTAACCGCATAATGCAACCGCCCCTATCTCGGGCTACGTTCCATGATGCACCGTGAGGAGGTGACGTCGGTAGACGCGGAAAAGTCGGAGATGCGGTCAGAGGCAGAGCCCAACGCGACCATGCAGGCGATAAAGGAGCCGCGCGGTGGGCGCGAACACTTGGCAAAGGTATCCTGAGACATGCAGGGATACAGTCGTATCCAGGGTACAGTGCAAGCGTCCATCGCCAATCATTTCAGTGTGGCGCTTCATGCTTTGCCGGTTCATCCTGTTCTTCGAGTCAGAAGCTCCGTATGTGGGTCAGGACGTCCAGGACAGCATGGGCCACCAAGCACGACTGGCGTGGGAGAAATCCCGGCGCTTGCTGATCACCGGGGGCATCGGCACCGGCAAGCGCTCGATCTCCAGGACTCCGTGGTGCGCTCGCGCTGAAAGCAGCTGCATGTGAATGCCGGGTGTCCCATGCATGGTGCTGGACCTATTGCTAACTTCATTTCTCCGGCGAGAATTTGCCTTATGCATTTTTCGTTCAACTCTTTGAGTGGAGGGATGTGAACAGCGGAGAGCAGCGAAGGAACATTTTGGCTGACCTGGTGCTTGGACAAGTGTGCGAGGGACAGGCCAGGGACCAAGATTGCGGGCTTGGGTGTTTCGAGCCAGAATTTCTGTCAAACTCAGTCCACATTGCCAGCGATTGATTTGTTGTTTTGTGCAGGGACATCTGGGGCTTTGAAATGTCCCGCAAAAAGCTGGCCACGCACTGAATTTCCAACCAGAAGGGTAGTAGGGGACAGTTTGAACCAAACATAGGTGCGGCCACCCTTGCAATGTTTTACATTGTTTTGGCTGGACTCCTTGAATACTAGGTTTTGATTGTGACAAATTTCGGATCCGGGCTCAGCAAAAGGAGAGAGCATATAAGTCATGACATGCAAGATCATATTGTACGCGGTTTGTTGACCCGGACAATTACCCATAGAGTCGTAGCAATCGAGGAGACGTGCCTCCCGATACACCCAGAGGCACAGCTTGCGGAATCTTTTGAGCAGTCCCAGCGTTGCTTTTTTTGTATTTTGTTTGTTGTGTTTCTGATTGTGTCTTGTCGCCACGCAGATGTAGGTGCTGGCACTTCCACCGAATCTTTGAACGTCCCCTCTGTCAAGTGGCACGCGTCACAAGTGGCTCCGCAGATCGCAGGTGAGCCGCTTCCCGGTTCGCCTCACCATGTCAGAGCTCCAGGATCAGTTGGGAAAGGGGCCCGACGCCGCTCGGCTCAGTCTGGACGAGGGGGAAACCGAGCGTCCGACTTGACCCCAGTGTTTGGATTTGTTGGACAACATGGGCGGCTGGGGGAGGAGATGAAGCAGAGTGTTCGGAACCCGTGGGAAGTGACATAAGCTTCAGGCGGCACTGGGATGTGGAAGTTTTCCGAATGGCGGAGGCTTCAAGAGGGTAGCAGCTTTTCCCCTTGAAGAACCAGCCACAGTCCATGTCACCAACAGCGCAGATTCTTGCAAACGTTTGCACATGGACGCCCCACCGCTCCATGTTTGTCCTTAGGAGGGCACGGTTTGCTGTTTAGCTCTGAATCTTGGCAGGGACCCCCTTGAAAATGGTTCGTCTACACCTATTCAGCTGTATTGCAGGAAACCAACAGGGAGTATTCAGCAAAAGGCCCCCAAACCAAAACAACAATCTACACGAACATACCTGGGCCTGTTTCAACACGAAACCAACAGGAACACCACACCCCTCGCCCCCAAAAGAAGAAGAAGAAGAAGAAGAAAAAGAAGAAGCTGGGTTTGTTTCAAAGGAACACCCAAGGAAACAAACGCACATCCGGGAAAGACGCCGGATTCGGGCGAGGCCGTCCAGCAGCAAGCGCTGGACCCCCCCACCCTGGGCTCCTGCGGCTGGGAGCGCTTGCGGCCCCCAAACTTCGGGGGGCGCTGGGGGCACCAGGTGATCCAGGCGCGGAGAGTCAGGAGTCATCCCAGGGGCCAAGGACCGTCTTATGGGCGGAGTCTTTTCTTTTTTTTTGCGGAGTTGGTACGGGTCAGAGAAAGGTGGCCGCGGTGCCTTCGGTGTTTGTATCCATCGCACTTTCCTTGTGTGTTTTGGGCCAAAATTAGTGCTCAGTCAGAGTCGGCCGGGTGACCGTCTTCTGGGCCAAATATTTTTTGGAGTTATGGGTCACAGAAAAGTTGGCGCGCCTTGAAATGTATCCATAACTCTTTTGTGCTCTTTTGGGCCGGGTGTCGCTTGGTTTGGAGTTGGCAGCCTCAAAATTGATTCTGCATCGGGGTTCGGGTGGAGTGTGAGAGGGGCCACTGTTTGCCAGCTCATTCATTTTGATAGGGTGGCACATGAATGGATTGGTAGTGACATGGCGCCATGCTTTTGTCCACTTGACGGAGAGAGAACCGGGTGGCAACACCCCGGCAGCAGCCAGCTCTATGGAGAGGGCTCAGCATTCCCCATGTGTCATGGGCAAGCACTCCATGAGGGAACAACTAGCCAGGTAGAGAAGCAGGTGCTGGTCCTGGGTGGCTGCAGTGCCCGGACGAGTTTGGTTCAAATATGTGTGGCAGACATGGAGAAGAAGTTTTCAGCAGTCAGACAGAGAGGGCGAGACTGAGACGGTGTGGAGATACCTCAGCGGTACTGAAGTCGGCTGTTTAGAATTGTAGACTGAGCCCATGTATGGGCCATTGTCATGGGCGTTGCACGAAGTGATCATGAGACACCTGAGGTACGCAGAACAACAAAGCATTGCAGGATGCCTGGATCTCCAAAGATGGTGGGCTGCTTGATGGAGTTTAGCGCAGTACATGGAGGACAAACTGTTGTCCAGCTCAACTAATTCACGCGACATGATCCACTGTCGCCCTATTCTTCCCGATTGTGTTTTCTCCATGGTTGTAGTTATCCTCACTGGCACCTTCGCGTTGCTTCGAAGCGGTGTTCATGTGCGTTGCCATTCACATTTGTACTGTGACTGTTGTCCTGGTGGGTGCTTGGGTTACCTGCTCCAAGTGAGCCGGTACATGTACCATGTAAGCAGGTGGACAGTATTCTTGCAAAATGCGCGTGGGGTTGCAGTTGCGAAAGGTTTGCGGAAGGGTTTGCCTCGCGGAAGCTTTGAGGAAGGTTTACGGGTAAAGCAATGTAAAGAAACCATGGCAACAACAGAAGCCCAACATGATCAACCGCCCTGTGGCCGCGGAAGCAACCGTAAGCAAAATATGCCCGCGGAGGAAGTTTTCACAAAGACAGTCAAAAACATGTCTTCGGGCGCAACAGTTCATGCCGCGCAAGCTTCGCGGAAGCGCTCAAGGCAGATTAAACAATGCCATCAGACAAATAAGAGAATGAACAACAAAGCTCAAGTGTTCAGTTGCAGTGAACACCTCATCTCTTAACCCTCTGTGAAATACGGGGAGTGGGGCGGGGGACTTGCCGAAAGCAGCCGGTGAGTCCTTGCGAGATTTGTGGCAATGACTCTTGGAGAAAAGCGTCAGATGTCTCGACTTTTGCGCCATGTAGTACGTGCAAAGATCTTGTTCACCAGAAGAGCTCATGCTTGGAGCTTCATTGTCCATGGGACGCCCACTGCACGGAACTTTGTCAGATTTTGACTGCTGGCGAGTTGTTGGCTGGCTATGTTGCATGAACCAGTTGGGTTGCTACGGTCTCAGCTGGTCCACTAGGTCACTGGAGTCCACGAGGGCTTATGAGCGCTCACCAATCAGCATAACAGTGTATCTAACCTGATCTTTTGTCTGAAAAATCAATGACCAAATTCCCCGTGTCCTTGAACCATCCGAAACAACAAGAGGCTGAGTCCAACCAGAGCAAGATCTTCCAAGCCACTTCCCAGGCTCACTTGGGAGGAACTGCCTACGCCCCCATGGCCCGGGCGCAGCGGGCATCAGGTGATTTGGTGGGAGGAGCGGGGATTTGAACGTGGACATGTCGAAGAGGTTCGGTTCGGATGACGGGCCTGCAGCTTCGTGGATCGCTTGATTGGGTTTCCTTGTTTGGGCGGACGCTTGCGGCCTGCTCCACTGGTTTGACCCCGCCTCTTGCACATGTGGGTACTTCAGCTTGTGCGATCAGCAAAAACTGCTTTCTGAGTTAGGAAAGCCCACCTTCCTTGCTGTGGAGCAGCTTTATCTTCAGCGATTTGCCATGATCCATTTTGCCTGCGTTGCCTGGGTGAAACATATTCCAGGGCATGTCTCAGTAGTGGAAATGGCGGGGGGTGAGGCGTCTCCAATCTGAGAGACCAACTCACTGATTGTGTCCCACCAGAAGGTCTTGTTTCTCTTTTAGCAGGAAACATGGCAGTAAGAATCGTGGGTCCCATTGTGGTCGCCTTGGTTTCTCTTGTGTTTTTTTTTGAACCGCAGGACCGCCTGATTCTCCTGGGCGGCCTCGGGGATGAGGATCGCCGGTTCCGCGACTCGTGGCAGTCCACCGACGTGGGCATGTCATGGCAGGACGGTCGGACCGGGTTTTGGGCTTGGGGGGACTGCACAATGGCTCGGCGTGGTCGACACTCCGAATCTGTGGGGCATGGTCATGGTGCAAGGAATCCCACCGGTTGTCCAAAATTCCTAAGCGGTTCATGACCAGCCAAAGCGAGCAGGCCTGCGAAGAACCGTCTTTCCTTGCAGTCGAAGCTGTCTCAGCCAGAACGTGACCCCCCCTGTTCCCTCCCCTCCCTGGCCGCATTATCTTATTTACATCCTGTGGGCCAGGCGCATTCAGGGGCACAGTGTGTCTTTTTTAAGGCTAGCCTATTTGGGATGGTTTGAGGGGGAAAGGGGTTGCTGCATTTCACAACGTTCCGGTATGTCAGACACGCCCACGTAGTGGAAGCCATGCAAACCAGTAGACCAAGAAGCGTGAGCCAGCGCCGTCACAAGGAGCTGCCGTGCCCCAAGTGGCCTGCCAGGCATGGCTATAAGAGAGCAGTGCTCAAGTTATCGGTTTTGGTCCTGCCAAGAGTGTGTTTGGGTGTTTGTTCCAACAGATTTGTGCAAGCTCAAAGGCCCCTAAATGGTCGTGCCTGGAGACGCTTCCCATCGCTTGTGCAAATGCCTTTTTGAACTCGGCATGCTTGCCAGTGAAGCCAACGTCTCATCAGCCGCAAACATGGTGCATGTGAAGCACAGAATGCTTGCATCTTAAGCCAACGACTCCTAGGCTGCAGGTTGCCGGGATGGCATTCCCGGCTTTGTTCCCATGTTGCAGGTTTGGGCACCAGGCCTTGGTCATGGACCTCTCTGTCAAGGCCCCGCCCCGGCCGCTGCTGCTGCTCATGGGCGGCAGCGGCACTGGGAACAAGGCACTCAAGGACCGGACACTGTGTGTGGAAAACGTTCGAAACGAGGCGTTATCAACAACATGTCACAGAAACTTGCTAGTAGCCGAAACAAGCCAGGGGCAATGTTAGCAGCCCAAACAGGCGGAGCCCTGTGTCGAACTGCGGGTCGCCGCCTGTTTGGATGCGTTTGAGGGAAACCAAAAGGACAAATTATGGATACCAACCACATGAAGGGCCTCTAATTTGGAGACTCACCCAAACATGCCCACGCTTGTTGCGGATCAAACCTCAGAGGCAAGCAGACATTGATCTTCCCCCTTGACTTTGCAGGGCAGCTTGGCAGTTTGCAGCAGTTTGCTCCTTTTCATGCCTTGCGCAATTCCGGCAGGACGTCTGGGCCTCGGATTCCGGCGGCTTCTCCTGGTTTGAGCTCGAGGCAAGGCTTGAGGGTTCACAAGTGCTGTATCTCACTCAAACCATCCGCTTTGAAATAAGGAAGATAACACACAATTGTATTATATATATATGGGAGTCGTTCTAAAGGTCCTTGTAATCAGTTTAGTATTTGGTGACCATCGGTGTTGGTTGAGGTAGCTCCGCGAAAGATTCTCGATGGAGTTGCGAAAGTAACTTTTTTGTTCGCGAAAGTTTTGCGTAACTGCATCTTGTAAATCAGTGCTATGTGAAAACACTCATCTTTTCTGCTGAACCGTCCTTCTAAGCTGATTAAAGCCTTTTGTTGCTTGTCCCCCAACTGGTGACGCTACAGTTTTAAAACCCTGCTTCTTTGGTTGTTGCTCCAGGTGTGCGGGTGTTAGTCGGTGGCTTTAGAAACGTGGGTGATGTTTCGCGAAAGGTCCGCGAAAGTTCCGCGAAAGCCCGCGTGAAAGCGCAGGCTTCGATTGCGAGGGGAGGTACTTTCTGAGCGCCGCGCTAGTCAGAGTACTAGCTTGGTACTGAAAAGTTGCGACTTCAAGCTGGAGCTGCGCGGCTTTCCTGCTGGAACTGAGGAAGTGCATTTCGTGTACTGGTGCGGAAAGTTGCGACTTTCCAGCCGGAGCTGCGGAAGTGCATGTCATGTACTACCCTTGTAATGAAAAGTTGCGACTTTATTTCGCCTGGTACTTGAGCAATGAAAAGTGCACGGCGATGAATCCGCGAAAGATTCGCGAAAGTAACTTCTTCTTTTTTTTCGCGAAGAATGGCCGTTTCGAGACAAAGGAATTTAGAACAACCACCATATATACACGAGTGCCTTGCTTATCCACAGAGGCATCCTTTAGCTTGATAGCCCATGTTTTGCGGACGTTTCCTAGGGCCAAGGTTTGCACATGGTAAAGCAACTTGCGCCAGCCCATGCCCTGCTCTGCGCGCTGGAACTTCCACCTGGCCAACTTCCAGGAGCGCTTGCCTCTCGGAGCCAAACGGTCAGACGGCTGGGGTGTCAAGATTGGCACAAGTGTCCAATAAGGGGCCATGTTCTTTTGAGCCGCCGCACTCCACTTGCTGGTAAGGATTGCAGACTTAGTTGTGACTAATGGGCAGGCATTCCCCAAACACCAAATCACGAATCCAAGCCCTCCAAGAAGGGATGCTGTGAGGGGCTATAGTGCACTTTGGGAGTACGTGCGGGAAACCGCAACACGCCCTCAGAGTGGCAGGGCCGAGTCGGGACATGTTTTTGACTTGCACCTGCTCCAGGCCTTTTGAGGAGGCCAGTGCAAATAGGGCCCCCCTTTCCTTGTGCCGAATGCATGGCAGGGTGCCGTGCTCTCCACATATTTATCCGGCTCCCATTGGTCCATTGGCTCCTTCCTTGTGGTGACAACCTCCGAATTTCCATTCCGCTGCTCGCACCGCTGCTCGATTGATACCACTAGAGAAGTTACAGAAGTCAGACAAATGTGGAGCAGCTAGAAACTCAGCAGTCGGCTCAGCAATCAAGGGCAAAATGGTCTGCAATGACGCCAACGCAGCCAACGCATCTCATACACCAACTTGTGCAGTAGACATGACTATGCATCAGCCATCAGTGGCATTTGCTTTCACATCACGTGCCTACCGTGAAAACACAACATACTGGGTAGTGTGTGTGTGTGTGTACTTGATAGGTTTTGGCGTGTAATGGATGAAACAAGACAGAGCTCAAAACTACGACATGTAAGCAATGCGTAAGCTTGACATGCTGGCCGACTGCCGCGTAAGCAGAAAACATAGGTCGTGTACGCAAAGCGCCAGCTTGCGTGTAAGCAACCTTCCACCATACAGGGACTCATGGCGTATCTGTAAAATTGCTCACCTGAGACTTTCACTCAGGTGGCTCACTGGGGGGTGCGACGACAGTAACCACTTCAACGACTGCTGGACTCTGGGCGGCGCCACCTGGGCCCCCAAGGGCGGCGGCGCCGCGCTGGGGCGCCGCAAGAGCGCCATGGATGTGGGAGGCGGGCAGCCAAAAGGAAGCCTGCCAGTTTTGGGTATGTTAGCCATGTTGAGAGAACGGTTTTATTTGAGAAGTGGTGTCCTGACGTTGTGTAAGTCGATTTGCCAAGAGCACATGTATTGCTCGCTGACCGCGCTATACTTGTCCGAGAAAAATGATTTGACGAACGCGCATCTTTGACAGATCACTCAAAGTGTTAGAGAAGTAAGCCTCTGCTCTCGTTCAAGTTTCGGCCAGAGAGATCACTTTTTTCCCCAATTTGGATTGTCAGCGATTGCACCAGGAAGCACACACATCCCGCCCCAATTTCACGAGCAACTGCCAGTGTGTTGGACATGTTCTCCGGAGGACGTCTCCTGTCAGGTGCGTTGCCTCCAACAACCTGGAATGAACAAATAGGCATCGGACAGCTTGTGTTTCTGAAAATTTCTCTCAGTTTTGTTTCCCTTTTTTTTTCAGCTTTTTGGTTGCATCTAAACCCGTTAAACAGGGGTTCAGCGTGGTGCCTTGGTCACCTCACCTGGGTCTAGCGCTCGAGAGCGCCAGGCATCGAGCCGGAGGGCTGGAAGAACTTTACGGCGCCCTGGCCGGCTAGGCAAGGGCACCAGGCCGGGAGCGTTTCCGGTGGACAGTGGCGAGTCAACTCGGGGTCTACATGAACATTAACAAAAATATATACGTAGATATTCATATTCTTATTATATCTAAAAGTATACACATGGCTTTGGGGGTGCGGCTGGATTTGGCCCAGAGAACTTTGGATTCGAATATGGTGGCTTTGGATGCAAGGCCGAGAAACAAAAGGCCCAAGCAAAGCAGGACAATGATTGTTGCGAGCTAAACTGGGCATAGGCCACGCAATGTGAAGGTGGCATCGCATGCTGCTGGCTGCTCTTGATCCACTTGATGAAAAGAACGAGCTGCTCTACCGTACTACTGTAACACCACAAGTTGAAGGCAACGAGTGGCACAAGCAATTGTTTTTCCCCAGCAAGATCCAGCAAGGTTGTTTCATCCCGGCCCCGGGATATGGTACTTGAAACAGAGAACAAGTCTTTAGACCGGAGGGTGGTTCGTGCAAGTCAGACATCGCTGCTTTCCAAAGAACTTGCGGACCCCAAAGGCAACAACCCAAGACACACTGTTCTTAGCTTCTTTCCAGCACTTCGACTGTTCTCAGACAGCTCATTTTGCCAGGCAGTTCCCTTCCGCGGCCAGCTGGCAATCTTTGGCGGCTGCGATGAGAAGGGTCAGGCAGAGATACAGGGATATGCGTGAGACATTGGGAGCCCATGCTTGGTTTCGTTTTGCTTTTTGACCCCCAATAGGGAGTCTCAAAACCAAAGTCGAGCTTACCTGTGGAGCGTAACTTCGAGCATGGTCTACTCCTGTTCACCTTTTCCGGCTCTTTGAAGCTGACTACGATTTCTGACCTCTCGCTTTCTTAAGGCGTGCCAGGACCACATTCAAATATAGACACTTCTCTTCGGAGAGTGTAAAGCACAGACAGATAGGGACCTCGTGCCCCAAATGGCGCCCCAGAAAGGAGTGTTTCAAGATTGGCACTCCGCATTTGTACATTTTTCATGTTCAAAAAAAACGACCCGGCAATCCGCGGCTTCGAATCGGCCATCCGATTTGGCTCGATGCCTCATGGGGACCCATCCAGGTCCTCTCCGATGCCTGGCTCTCCGAGGACGTGCAAAACGCCAAGCTCGTGGGTCCCCGAAAATGGCAACGGTTTCCGTTTGGTTTCCCCTTAAAACCAACCAAGAAGGGTTCCCCCGAGAATTGGGTCCAAATCCTTAGATTGACACATGCCATCGTAATCAATTTACTAATGTGCCCCTGAAGTGCATTTGGCCTGGTGTGCGGCGTTTCTCTTCCAAGCACTACTTTTCTTTTCGAGCAATTGCACGTGAAGCGTGAAGGGAGGGCACAATATACAGCACTTTGTAGATTCAGCAACTGTGCTGTGTTTTTTGAAAGTTGGCTGCAAGGTGAACGAGCCAGGGAGATCAGTACTTGGACGGACGCATCCAGTCCTCAGTTTAGATGTTTTTCATTGTTGGCTTCAAAATTCTGGACATGTTGAGCTAGCATGTTTCCCGCGTCTATAACTTGCTTGTAGGCTCCTAACTCAATACTCAGAGCATGTAAGCACTTTTGCAGACTGGCTTTTGCCTCTTCGCCAAGCTGGATCCATGCAGAACTTGTTCAACCTTCACAGGTGACGTTTGAAGGGACCCCAACAGGACACCCACACCGCTTGCGTCAGAGGATGGCAGCGCCTGGCAGCGCCTGCCCTACTTCGCCTGGGCACAAGCGGCAGGCCGTGCCGGGCATCAGGCTGGAACGAAGAGGGGCAGATGGGTTCCTTGGGATGTGAGGGCACAATTGGTGGTCATAGGGCGTATCAAGAGTACCAATAGTTTTTAACTCGATAATACGACTAAACTTGGTCTAAAAGCACCCCAAACCCCATTCTAATTATTTGGGTGGAAGTTGGCTTCGAACCACCATGCTTCTCGCAGACTTCCTGGAGGTCACAACACATGCTGTGATTGGCTTGTAAGTTTTCATGAATTTTCACGCATTTAGTTTGAGCAAAGGGAGATGCTTTCACGTCGTCAATGCCATCGCGCCAGTCGACACTATACTATATTATTGGATGTGGAGGGCCGACGAGTAGTTGGAAATGAGTGAACATTGCTGGTGACAAACTTTAAATGGTAAGTCTCTTTAAGTGGCAAGATTGCTGACAAGTTCCCAGAAATGTGTTCTGTTGCTGGGAGTTGCACTAATCCTCGTGTCCTGCACTGGTTGGTCGCAGGCCCCTACCAGAATAGCTTCCCACTTCAGGTCGAACCACTCCATGCGTCGCTTCAGGCTTTTCAAGAAATACATTGTTTGCTTTGCTATTTGGGAAACTTGTCTTTTTGAACATTCCCGAGAAACGGAACAGACTCATCGATGCCACATGGCACTACAGCCGCTCCGTGCAGGTCTTGCTGCTGGAGGACGGCGCGCATCTCAACGGTCTGTGAGTTTTAGTGGGGAACCACATTAATTTATTGGTCGATACGCATCCCCATCTATTTTTCCATCTGGTCTATTGCGATTCACAGCACGGCGGCGTTTCCGCTGAAAGCCTTTCCTGCGCCCCGACTTCTCCATTTTATTAGTTAGACACGTGCCACATCTGCAAGAGCCCACAACCAGACTCTTGAGGTGACCTGTGCAGCGAGGAAACCTTGAAACTGGAAATGCTGGCAACCACTAATAATTCTGTAATCTTTTGTGAGTCGAGCATGACCAGTCGACAATTTTCATGTGAAGAGGTTTGTTGACTTTAAGTCGGATCGTACCTTAGCCCATTTTTGACAGCCTTGCCATAAGGCCGCAGCATGATCTTCGGGGGCCTTGGTGGCGGTCGCGACATTTTGCGCTCCAGGCCGCCTGCGTAGTTGTCACAAGTTTTCCACTCAAGGGGCTGCCTGCGCATACGGGAGACATCTCCGGACATGAATGACTGTGTTGATGTCCTGAATGCTTTCAACCCTCTTTCCTTTCACCTAATGCCCCTGCAATAATGTTCCTCCTAGAATGTCTGGATGGAAGCTGGCTTGTCCGGCCTTGGATGCCAATTTGTGGGCGCTTGATCTGCACAGGTGGTGAGCATAGCAGCCTTCGAGTTTTTTGGTTTTTTCTTACGGCGAGAGCAACCTCCCCTTCCGTCTTGATTCCCAAAACTGGCCAGACTGCTGGCTTTGGTCATCGAGGACGTCGACGAGGACTTGCAGGATGAGGAGGAGAGGAAGCAGAGGGTCCACCAAGCTTTTGGGCTTGAACTTCTTGAAGACGTGACTTAGTTGACACATGTTCGGAGTAAGAGGCGTTTGTGAAATAGCTACATGGATGGGATTTCCCTTGCACGCCGCTGAAAGGGTGTGGCTTTCCCCAACGAGTCATAATTCTTGAGCGTGAACTACGTGCTGTTGAGAACTGGATTCGCTCTCCATGGGCCCGAGGACGTTTGCATGATTTGGGTTTGCTCCTGCTTTGCACTGCTTTGCAGCCAGAATGTAGATTGCGGCGGGGTTTTCAGTGAGAGGCTCGAGCTTGCGACCGGAAGATAGTTGCCAAACAGGGACAGAGATTTGGCGTCAAGCATGATTTGCAGGAACGCCCTCTATGCAGATTTGTGGCCAACTTTCCAAACGCGTTGTGGAGCGGGAAACTCCAAGCTGTCATGACGCCTTGGGCGATAGAGACAGCTGGTCGATAGTTCCATCCAGGATGTGGTGAACTACTTGGACAGGCCTGGGATCTGCCCTAGAAGCAAGCAGCCGAGAGGTAAGGCTGGAGAGAGCTGAAAACGATTCCCGTTCACATTTCCCACTTGGGCGAAGGCAGGTTGTTCAGCATGCAGGTTTGTGCACATCAAGGGAGCACCAATGAATGGGTGCCGCATCCGCAGGCTCTTGAAGCATGAGCCGGGCCATCTGGTGCTTTTGGTGAGCTCGCTGCGGAAGTCGGGGGCACTCAGCGTGTGGGATCGAGTCTCAAGGTCTTTGGGGACTCGGGCTGCAATTTCCAAACCAACACCAAATCAAGCAACCCTCCCAACAGTGCGGGGCCCTGATTCCTGGAGTTCAGTATGAAGGTGTATATGTATACGATATGTATACGATATCTATACGATATGTATACGATATGTATATGTATGCGATATGTATGGACCTGCAAGATCATGCAAGGCTTGTTGCTGGGTTTGAATGCTTTGTCACAGTGCGATTCCTACACAGCGATTCCCCATGGTTAACAGCTGAACTCGGGATCAGCTGTTGGCTTTTGAAGGGCCCAAAGGGTGCCGTTTATGAAGCGACCGGCTCCGGGTTAAAGAAAGGTCCAGTCGAAAGATGGACCATGACTCCTTGGCCAAGGCTTCCAGATCCACAAGGCCCCGCACGTCGAGACGGGTTGACTTTGGATGAGGTGGGTGGATTAGGGACCTCCCCCTTTTGCGCGGAACTTGAAATGAGCTAGCCAACACGACATGAACCATGTACAGGGGATCAAGTGTTGGCACGGCATTTTTGACTCTTCTCGCCGACCCAATGCAGAACAAGTGCTGTCTTCGGATGGCTAGTATTCGCTTAACTTGCGGGTATGCGAATGCGTGAACGTAGCATGACACACGCTTAACACTATCGTACAAGCCTTAGTCTTTGCGTTAAGCGTCAAGCACAAGATGCTTTCGAATGCCTGTCCTCGCGTCATGTGTCTAGCTTTTGTTCGGCTTCTTTTGCATGTTGCCGCCAGCAAATTGCAGAATGCAAGACTTGAGAAGGTTGTGTTTTCTGCATGTTTGAACAACACAAAGCGAAAACACACAGTCTCTCTGCTCATTCCCCGACCTACACATTTGCATGACGCAAGGATAATTCAACATGAGCGTTGATGAAAGGCAGAGTTGTCGATTGGTGTGGTCTCCCTAGCAAGCTCGTCAAAACTCATGCCTTCATGACCATCCAGTCCAGTGAGTTGGTTCATTTCGTTTGGAATCGATATTACAATGAGTCTGAGGAAAGGGCAAAAACCATCCACCCGGGACACATCTACCCAGCGGCACTATTGTTCCAGCGAGAAGGTTTTACCGGTTGTTTCTTGGTCACGCACTGCAGTCTCAATGCCAAGCTGTGAAGCCCACCCGCGTATTGAAGGGTTGTGTCCTGTGAGTTGCGTGCGTTGCAATCCATCGAAACCTACCGTACCGCTGCCGATCGGGGCTCGCAGTATCTCGAAGTATCAAAGAGGGCGGCAGATGGTACCTCAACCCGATGTCGCACTTTGAATCTTCGCTGGAAGGCGATGCTGTGACAATGGATCGACTGCAGCCTGTGAGGCAACTTAGTATCAACAGTGCCAGGACCTTGTACAAGGAGGTGGGCTTTCTCATCGACAAATTTCCCAAGCCCGTGGTGATGGCTGATGCCCTGGTGCCGGACTGCCCTGTTGTGGGCGCTTCTGACTCCTTCTGCAGACTCAGCGGTTACAGCCGCGACGAAGTTCTGGGGCAGAACTGCCGGTTTTTGCTCAAGGAGCCGGATACTTGGTAGATATTTCCCCTGTAAACATCACAGCCGTAGAAGACTGGAGCCAAACTTGCTTTGCTGAAGAACATGCAGCTTGACTAAGTGGTTAGATTCCTGTTTAGCCTTCTCAAGGCAACTCATGGTTGGACCGAGCGGTGGATTGGCAATTTTTCAGGCTTCGCTGCAGGATCGGATCCGCCCGCAGGTCTTCTCTTCAGGTCGTTCGGGTCTCTTGCCCTGTTGCCCTGCTACCCTTTGGTGAGCTGACTCGGTCAAGTGCTGGGCCGACAGCAAAACTGCAAAACCATGCTGCCTTTAAAAGCTCCGTGCTCATTTGCCGAGTGTCCAATCCCGGGCTTTGCTTCCTGGCGACACCCTTGGAGGATGTGCCTGGCTGTTGCATCTCGCGCTCCGGCCGCAAGAACCTGCGATCCATGATCCGCATGTGTAGGCGGGGGTCGCGCGTCTGGTGGCCGTCATCTGGATGTTTACAGTACTTGTTGCTTCCAAAGGGACCCCAAAATAGGTGGTTCCCGCTGGTTTCTCTTCAAGGCAACCCCAGCAACAGTACCATCAAAAACACACACTCAGATGTACGAGATGCTTGCAAGCCTGGCATGTTTGTTTTGGGCCTAAACGGGGCTTCTCTATCCTCTGTGTCTGGGACGCTGCGGTTTGAGCATATTGGTTGATATTGTTTGCGCAGACGAGGCTGATTTCGAAGCATATTGGTATCTGTTGCAATATCTCATTCCAGTGACGGCGTCAAGGCATAGACAAGCCACTTAGCCAGAATCCCACCTTGTGATATCGCAATGCTTAGGGTGGTATCTTGTGTGTTTCCAACACAGTAGTGGATTTGGGGGCCCATGAGACCGACATCCGCGTATCCACTTGTTAGTTTATAGGTCCCACATTGCGAGATTTGACTTTTGTGACTTGTACCTAAGCGGCAACTAAGTGCACGTTGAGGGAAATGGCATTTCACAGCACCACGCCCGTGTCCCCAGCAGGTTGATTGGGCTGTCCACGATGGGCAGCACCAGCTGCTGCCAGACGAATCGCAAGCGTGGAGGGGAGACTTTTCTGAACATGTTCGCTGTGGGCCTCGTGCTGCTGGAAGGGCACCCCTTCTTGGTGGGCGTGCAAAGCGAGATGGGCAGCGAGTCCATGAACCAGGCAGAGCTGAGTGGTCGGGCTTTGGCTTCTGCTTGTTTACCTGGTTGTGCAAGACACTTTTTTTGTTTGTGTGTGTACAGTATGCCGTGGCCATATTGAGTTGCCGGCTTTGGAGACGGGAACGATTGTCCCCAAGCATCAACTCAACTGGGGTCGCTTCAGGTGAAGCAGGACCAGCACGCGCTCATAGAGCAGATTCGGGTGATCCTGCAGCAGGGTCTCTCGCAGCGCGCCTCCACAGTCTTGGCCAAGGAGCATTTCCTGCCCCCGCGGCCCCGAAACTTGCCAGGCTGGGACTCGAAGGGCAGTGCCGGTGTTGCGGTGGGCGAAGGGCACGGGCACAGCCTTTCAGGCCTTTGTAAGGCGGAGTGTGAGAAGCTTGATGGCGTTTTGCAGTTAACATGCTAGGTGGATGTGCATGTTGCAGTCGTTTCTAGGCGTGGCAATCAAACCGCAAGCCTGCTTCAACAAGGGTCAGCAGCCGGATTCCGCGAGGCTCGCCATCCTTCTCCTCAGCGGCAATCGCCGACAGGGTGATTCTCCTGAACGACCGTCGCACAGAGACTTGGCCACAGAACAACAAACATTTATATCTATCTAAGGCTTGACAGGGCTACGAACCACATTGCCATTCCAATCCTGTTGCACAATGAATAGTGACAGCAGTTTCAGAAAGTCGCTTGCCCGTTGGAGCTCAACCTCAGGGCAAGCTTTTGGGCAATCCACTTCTCGCCGCCTCACCAAACACCACTCAGAAACATGCGGAAAGGCCCTTTTGCTTCTGCACTCTGCGTTTTGCACTACATGTGATCAAAGCGTTTGCGCCGAATACCGAGGTGCAGCAATTTTACATTGAGCAGAAGGTTTGCTAAAGTTTCTTGTACTGCTTGCAAAGACGAATCTTCGGTTTATTCTCTGCCGCTCAGGTGATGCGCCGGGAGCCCTGCGAGATCCCTAACGGGTGCGTCGTCATCAGCGAGCAGCCCATCCGGCGAACGCGGCAGGGCCTCTTCTTTGCAGTGCGCATGGAGGGCGCAGCCCGGCGCCGGTTCTGGGTCCTTAGGGTGGAGGTTACCAATTGCAGATATAGAAACTCCAAGAAGGGTAATTACCTGCGGTACCTGGCCCCCTTTTGGGGTTTCATTTCATCATGTGATCTTGCGGGGGAGTAGATTTCTGCGGTTGTGTTTTCAGATGTCCTGTGGTTCACTATTTGAGTGGCCCGCAGGATTGAAAGCTGGGGGGTTTGCTGATGAGGTTCTGCGCGATGGATGGCACACCAGCTGGCCAATGTCACTTGGCTGCGGCTGTAGCTGGTGGTCCATTGCCACCGGATGCATAGTTCAGACTGGCAGATTTGACACAAGCAAAGCCGCCCAGATTGGAGACGTAGAGTTTCCACCAAGCAAGCAGTCGCAACGATCCGAGCTGTGGCATGCGTTATTGCGCCGCCGAAACCATCAACTTCGCCAATTCCAGCTGGCACGTTAGACCATCAATGCAGGCCACTAAAGTGTTCTTGCCTTTCTCACGCTCGTAATTCGCAGTGTCATTGTCCAGACTACAAGATTTGAGGAGTCCTCGTAAACGGTCAAGGCTCACAATACCTTCGGTCATTGCCAACAGTTGCCCTTGTTGGAAGACCCGGTTAAATGCCACTCATCTACTGGTGTTTCATTTTTGGTGTAACTTTGGCCACCCAGCTTCTGCCTTCTGAAAGCCTGAGGTTGGGCATGACGGAGATTTCCCCGCAGGACATGCAACGGGAGGGCTATCCCCTCCGCGCCGAGTGGTGCGGCAAGAGCGTGTGCATCGGAGGGGAGTTCCAGGCGACTGGGTCCCGGGCAGTTGATCAACTCATGAAGCGAGTCATGGCTTGTCGATGTGTGACGGCGCCCTTTTTGGATGGAAACCACCGATTTTGCGGAAGCTCACATTTTGAGACAAACCCGAACAGATTATAATTTGTGCAGAGCTGGTTGTCAGGAATGATGATCATCATGCTGATTGTGAATGATGGGTCCGTTTTCTGGCCAGGATATGAAATTTGTTTTGAATACCATACTTGTCTTGAAGCTATAACTCGCTTATTTCCAGCGAGCCTTGGCCACACTGAGGAAGAAGTAAGGACTGGTTTGGCTTTGGGCTTGGCTCAACCGCTCCAAACATGACCACGCCTACTTCACATTGCAGCCCGGCTACGTCAATCCTATCTGCCTGGGGCTTGTATGCCTGCGCTGTATCCAGTTTCAGGATGCAAGAGCAGCAGTAGCATCGCACGACGGTCCTGCCCAATTCCAAGATGAGTAGCCAGCTTTCGTGAATTGCCTCAATTGCAGATCTCTCAGGAGTTCTGTTTTCCTTTTGCTCGGTGTCTTCCACGCGGGGTGTTTGACCCTGTGTGTTGTTTTCTGTTACCGGAGGCCCAGCTGGTCTTGCCTGAGCCCTCCTCCCCGCTTTGCTCCTGGCCGCACCATCACCCCTGACCTATTTATGAGCATCCAACAAATTATCGTAGTCACAGTTAGTGAGGGGTTGAATCAAAAGTTTCTGAAATGTGGCGTGAAGCCAGCAAGATGGTCCTTCTACTTAAAAGTTGCAGCTGTCGAGCTGGATCTGCCAAACTCTACTTTGCTTACTGCACTTGTACTGAACAATTTCGACTCTCGAGCTGGAGCCGGCAAAT